GGCTGGGAAGCCTGCCGTTGCTGCACACCCGCCAAACCTTCGGTCCGGGACTGAGCCGAAGGGTCAGATGGCTGGGGGGGGGGGGGTGGGGGGGGAGGAGGGGGAAAAGGAATGGGGAAGAGGAGAGGAGAGAATGGGAGAAAAGGAACGGGGGAAAGGGGAGAAGGGGGGAAAATGGTTGAAGGGGAGGGGATTAATGGAGGGAAAAGGGGTGGGTGCGGAGGGAGGGTGGAGGATGGGAAGGATGTGTATAGGAGAGAGGAGAAGGACAGATAGGAGATTACTTCATGTTGCAAACTTGCACAAAAAATGTCTTCAGCAATAGGATTTAAATCGAGGACTACAGTGCTTTACCTTGTTTGCAAAAGAAGGGTGTTCCGGCCATATTCCCGAATCCACCACGCCTATAATCACATCCTCGCCCGCGCGGCTCTGCCCCCCATTTTCAGCCCAAAGGCTCGTCGGCAACTTCAAGAAAGTCGGCGAGTCCACAGTGAGCGCGCGAACCTGCCCCAGAAAAAGAAAACAAGAGAGTCAGTACTGGGAAACTACAGTGAGCGCGCAATATATTGAGGCACGATAATAGCGAGGAAATAAAATATACTGGCAGCAAACGCGAGAATATTTGACCGTTATAAGCGCAGTGAGCTTCTGTAATATTCTTTTGCTATCCATTTTCTGATCCTCATCCCAGTCCCCCTCTCCACTCTTCCTCTCCCCCTTCTTTGACTCCTCCACCCTTGCTCTCTTCCCCCACAGTACCGGCCAGCTATCTTTCGCTTCCCCCTCCCCCGCTCTCTCCCTTCTTGACTTTCCCCCTCTCCCCCGCTCTCACCCCTACTTCCCCGCTTTCCCCTTTCTTTCCTCATCTCCTCCTAGCTAATCACTTCACTGACTTGTATCTCTACTTTCACTCACCGGTTTGTCTTCTTCGATCCATGCCACGGCAGGGTGCTGCTTCAGCCGTTTCGCCTCCGCGTCCGTCAGTGATACAGCGAACCCGTTGACCGTGTACGTGTAGCTCTGGAACAGCTGCGCCGGCGATATGTTATTCTTTCGCAAAAACTGCCGTTGCGCATCCCGCAGAAAGTTGACGAAAGATTTCACGTTCGCCCGTCGCACGTCCGCGCGTCGCTTGATTCGATCCGCAAGCCGCCGTATCGCTTTCCGAGGAGCCTCAAAAGTCGATTTCGTGATTGTGCCGAAGCGAGGGGGTACAGCGGATGTGCTTCTAACGGTGGCCAGTCGAGCCGCGCTGATCCCTTGGAGCATCTCTGCTGCGGCAAGTGTGACATTTGTTGTACTGCTGTCGCCGGTTGTAGAGTCGTCGGTTGTAGCGCCGCCGGCTGTAGCGTCACCGGCTGTAGCGCCGCCAGCTGTAGCATCACTTGGAAATGGAACCTCCGATGGATCCGTTCCCCCTCCTCCTCCTGCTCCGGTTCCTGCACCTCCACCAGGAATTTCACCTGAATTTCCACCTGAGTCACCTGAACCGCCAGTTGAACCGCCACCCAAGCCGCCACCCGAACCGCCACCCGAACCGCCACCTGAACTGCCACCTGAAGTATCAACCGGTGCGCTATCGTCGTCGTCCGCGTCGGTGGGGCTGCTCTCGGGGTCGTTGTCGTCTAGCTCCGGCGCGGTCGCCGCCAGCCCCGCCACGCCGCCGCGGTAGTTGAGCACCGGCGGCACCGCCGCCAGGTGCACTATGTACTGCTTGCGCAGGGGCGCCGCGGCTTTCGCGCGCGTAGCTGTGATGAGGGAGGTGGGGAAGGTGGGAGTGAGGGAGGGGGAGCGGGGGTGAAGCGGAGTGAGCGGAACGGTCGTCAGGTGCACTATGTGCCATTGCGCACAGGCGCCGCGGCTTTGGAACGCACAGCTGGAAGGGTTGGCGCGGAAAAGGCGGCAGTGAGTATGCTACGTCTGTTGCGTGATTCAACTGGCGCATAGTATCAATATTCTTTACACAGCCGCCAGTAGTAAATGATAGTAAGAACTTTTACCCGTTTCGGTCTCAGTCCCCAATCCCTCAGCCTCGAATCCCGTACCTCCGGCCTGCGACCTCGGGAGTCCTCCTGCGACGAATGCCACCAGGCAGGCGACGGCCAGACACCTCAACAATCTCGTCGCCGACCATGTCGCAGGATCGTCCGGCGACACGTTCCGTCGCACGCCGGTCGCCCGCGTCGCTGTGCGAGAGCAGGCGATCGTGCGACTCATCGCCGTGCCTTGACCTTGCTCTGAAAAGGAGCTAAGATCCTCAGAAGAGCAAGAATGTATCAACCTTCTACAAGTCGACACCTTCTTACTAGTACACCTCTACACTGGACCGAAATTATGTTGTATCGTAAGCTCGTGGCGCCACGGAAGGAGAGCTCTAAGTCCAGAGCGCCTGATTCATGTATTTAAATCTGTGTTTTCGGAGTTCCTGTGTCAGGGCTGCTACGTACAATTGAGCCGACTATATACATGCGCTGGAGCAGCGGAAAACGCGGAGCACGTGAAGATACTCAACTGAGAGGCGCTCTAAAAGACAGTGCTAGCGTCCAAGCCATGAACTACGATGCGTCGTCGACTAGCGTGCAGCTTGGGAACCGTTTCTATAGCGCGACTGACCGGGTCTGCTAGCAGTTTGAGCGGATGGCGAGGAGTGAGGAACTCAGCGTGAGAACCGTTTCTATAGCGCGACTGGCGGGGTCTGCTAGCAGTTTGAACAGATAGATGGGGAGGACTCCTCGGAGTGAGGGACTTGCGGTAGCGAGGTGTGTGAGAGGACTGAGCTTTCCTTTGAGGAATAGCAACAAGGTCGCAGGGAAAGCTCAGAGGAGAGCAACGAGGTCGCAGGATCTTTGGGCGTGATGGGAGGGACCTCGAAACGTACAAGTCCTGGTATTGATCAGCAGACGAGGAGCTAGGGTTTGATGGGAAGTGCCTGATCTTTAAAACAACGGTCGTCTCGACTGTAGCTGCTGCGGCGGTTGGTGGGAAAGCGCAAATATGATAAAGATGGGTCGGTGATACGCTATCAACCTGTCGGTGTCCCCAATGGATGTATTGTCTTTGGATTTTTCTCTGGATTCCGGTTGCAAATCGTAGAAGTCACGGGAAAGTAAGTGGCTAAAGCGCGGGACGAGACGCGAGCCGTCAATTGATGAGCCGTGACATGGCCATTAGCTATTAGCCGGTGGCATGGTGGTGCGGTGCACAGATGTTATGTGGTGAGGGCTGGGTGGGGCCGAAATGGGACCAGCTGCACTTGTTGCAGTGGGATGGTGGAATCGCGGTGGAAGTGATTTAGCCATGAATGAGGTGCAGCATCACGAAACGTGACCAGGTCAAGTCAACAAACAAGCAACGGTAATGTGATCTACAAGGGGGCGAAAATTGGAATGAAGCATGAGCAGATCGTTCTTCCTCCCACCAACACATGGAATTTTGGGGGAGAGCAGCAAACGACGTGGGGCGGAGATGGTTGTGAAATTGGGAAACTCGGAAGCGCGCGAGTTTCCTTGTGAATAAATTTTGGCGTGGCGTGCCGTGCGATTCGAGTCGACATTTGCTAGGGACGGAGGTGAGGTGACAGCTGGTCCGGAACATCGTGGCTATCACTGGTTCGGTTCGGGACAGGCTAGGCTCGTCCGAGCCAGTGAAGCCATGTCTGGACATCTGGTACGACGTGCACCAAGCTCAGTCTGCGATTTGAGAGTCTGGTTTGGATGTCGTCCCGCGTCGACGACGATGTCGGTGCGAGGGACCTGCTGAAGCAATAATGGCCCAGACCACGAGCCTTGGCCAGTGGCCAATTAGTGAACGGGATGTGTTGCGATGCGATTGATGACGTTGATTTGAGGGGAACGTACAGAGGAGGGAAGCTTTCCCGCCAATTTTAAAAAATCGCCACCTACAGCTGCGTGTGCAAACATCAATACCAAAAGGCCACGTGTGCAAACTTCGCTACACGGTTTCATATAGCGAATGCCATGTGAGTGAATTAGAGGTCAGTGTAGATATGTACCTTAAAGGCGGGGTGCAACTTCTTAGGAACAGGAGCAGGACAAACATGGAGTGTGCGTAAAAAGACCCTTATTGGATGAAAAAAAATGAAATCTCGGAAAAGACAAACTTATTGCCACAGAAGTGCCTGGGACAACCAAGTTCCAAGCTATAATACTTCGAAGTTGAAGCTGATAGTTGGGCCACGGCTTTAAATGTTCCTGGCCTGCTGGGGCTGCGTTCAGCTTAGTGTCAAAAGTATGCAGCAATTGTTCTCAACCATCAAACGTTTGACATGGTATTGAGAAAGAGATAGCTTCCTTTCCTAACTATACTTACACCAATACGCTTCGAACGTGTGACTACCGTGGTGGTGAATTGGTTTCACGTAATTTACGAGTTACTTTTCGTTCATATCCCTCCCCCCACCACCACCCCCATCCGAGACACCACCATTGCACAATCTCCCAGCTCGACTCAATTTTGTTTGTACTCTAGAATGATAATAAAAATGCCATATCCCAGGTGTGAGAAGTCAGTAACTTGCTGCCACCACTACCTCCCCCCCCCCCCCCTCCTCTTTTTCCTCCCACATAAAGTCCCTAACCTCCAAGTGCAGTAAAGTATGATGTATAATTTCGCTGGAACCTTGCTGTTGCCAAACCTTGCATCCACTCCCAGCACGGCCACCGTTCACTGCAGCAGGAATCACACTGGTGCTCCCCACATTTCTCCTCTCCCCTCTCCTGACCCTCACCCCACCACATCAATCTCACCCCCTCCACAAAAAGTGGAAGTATTAAAACTTATTTTGCTGGAACCTTGCTACCGCCAAACCTTGCCTCCACTCCCAGCGCGGCAACTGTTCACTGCACCAGGGACAGGCAACCGACTGCTGCCACTATACTGCAACAGATCACATGGGTGTTCCCACATACACTCCGCCCCTCCTGACTTCCCCCTCCAATGGCAGTCCAAGTATAAAAGCTTATTCCACTGGACCTTCGCTACCGCCAAACCTTGCCCCCACTCCCAGCACGGCAACCGTTCACTGCACCAGGGACAGGCAGCCTACTGCTGCCACTGTACCGCGGAATCATACTCGTACTCCCCACGGACTCCTCCCCTCCTGACTCCCCCACGTCATTCCCCCCACTCCCCCACGATACTCCAGACTTGCAGTTTTCATCCATGTACTCACCACTCCCGTCCAGCCCACCTGCTCTGCTCCTCCCCCCTCCCCCTCCGCCTCCGCCTCCGCCTCCCCCACCTCCGCCTCCCCCTCCCCCTCCCCCTCCTCCCCCGCTTCCGGTTCTTCCCCCTCCCCCGCCTCCCCCCGAGCCTGCTTTTCCAGGGCTCCGCGGGGAGCTGCAGATGGAGGAGCGCTCGGAGTTGAGACGCGCGGAGGAGGCCGGGGAGGGGATGAGGGTGGGCGGATGTGCCGCTTGCTGCTTCTGTGTGTGCTGCAGCTGGTGTACCTGCTGCTGCTGCTGCAACTGTTGTTGCAGCTGCTGGGATACAGCACCTCCAGCTCCTCCTGTTGCAGAAGGGTTAACCTGATAGAACGACTCCCTCTGCCGCAGTGGCGACTGCTGCTGCCTGCCGGAGGAATGACCGAACCCACCAGGAGCTTCCGACTGCCGCCGTGCTGCTGTGGCTGCTGCGGCAGCGATTGCTCCCGTGCCTGCCCCAGGAATCCTACTCCCAGAGATGCCTTCCCGCCCATTCAAGCTTCTCACCGACGGATTATCAGCCCGGGATGGGGACAAGCATAGGCCGCCCAGGGGCCCTGGGAACTGGTGGTTTGCTGTAGACGGCACGTCCTGGTAGGAGTAGTCAACTGGTAACTCAAACGGGTCTGTCACTTTCGAGGATGGCGGAGGGGGGGTGAGGGAAATGTGGGCCTGGAGTGGGTTTGAGTAATTCTGAAACTGCTGCTGCTGCTGCTGTTGCTGCTGGTTGTGGCCGTGAGCGCGTGTGGGTGTGGTTCCCCTGTTTGGGCCCTGCTTGGCTGAGCTGCCTCCTCCTGTACCCGCTAAAGAGTGGCGCGCTGCCGCCCTTTGCCTGGCAGTCGAACCCGACATGGTGCTGGTGATTTTATTCATCATCGCGAGCTGCTCCTCCAGCCTGGGATGGGGTTGATGGGGAAACGAGGGAGAATGGATGAGGAATGGAAGTCGATTCAAGGATAAGGTGATCCTATTCATCATCGCGAGCTGCTCCTCCAACCTGGGATGGCGTGGTTGAGAGAACGAGGACGAACGGATGATAATAAGAAGAGGATGCATGGATGACGGGTCCGAGGATGCTTCTCAATCTCATTGCTGAAAACTGCAAAAAAAAGGCATCGAAGCCCTCAGAGCCGTCAGTACCCTGTTTGAAAAAAATTCTTCCTTGGTATGTGGTTCCAGCCAGCTCTTGTTGAGGAGTAGCCCAGGTCACTGATGCAGACTAACATCCTCTTTTTGTACCTTGTCTTTTCTTGGTACAATGCGATGCTGTGGTTCCAGTACGTGTCTCGGGATTTGCGCGCAGCCACCAGCTCAGCCTCGAGGTTCTCGTTCTCCCGCTTCAGCATCTCGCTCGCCGCCTCCGCCTCCTCCAACCGCTCGCACAACGAGCTGCAATCAGAGCGAAGGAAACGCATGACGAATGGGATTCACTGTTCATGACTCCATTTGAAAAAATAACGCGCAAGCGGCTATTGATGAGCATGTTGGCCGAGTTACGCAAGGGGCTGTAGCAAGGGCTCAGTCACCTGGATTCCATCGCCTCACCTGGATTCCACCGCCATGCCGTCTCTGTCTTTCATCAGGGATTCTTTCTCCTGCGAAATCGCCTCCACATCTTCCTCTAATCTCCGGAGAACGTCCTCAAGCTCTTTGTTCTTTTGCATCAGCGCCGCCATATCCGCATCCGATAGTACCCGGTCCTCCTCCCTCACCGCCGCCATGGCCGATCGCGCCTCGCGCTCTTGCTGCAGCAGCTGCAAGAGACGTACTGACGCCTCCTTTTCGCGTTGGAGACTCTCCTCTGTCATAGAGAGCTGTCGGAAAAATAAACGGGGAATCTCAGCAAGATAGATAAACGAGAAGGTTATACTACTTGCGTATAATATCCTAAATGGACTAGCCCGGAAGTTCTAAACATTTGAGCGTTGAAGCACTAAGACGCACCGCAATAGCCGCAGTATGATGATCACGCTTACCTGTGTTCTTAGAGAGGATATCTCCTTCTCCTGCTCCTTATTTGCGCTCTCTAACTGCTCGACTCGCGACTCCAGCTCCAGAACCAGGTCCATCTCTTGAGTCGCGAAGGCCGCGTCGTCTAGCTTTCGTAAATACTCCATCGCCATCGTCGTTCTGATAAGGTAGTATGCAACTATTACCCTGCTCAACGAAATCTGATTTCCAGCGCCATGCGAGTAAGTAAACGATGGACTAAACAGTGACTGACGCTTACTCCGAGAAGAAGCGAAATTCTTAGGAAGAATGCCCAGACAGTTCTTTAAGCGCAACGGCTGAGTCTAACGCCAGAAAACGGGACTGCTTTCATTTACCCGTGCGTCAAACGAGGTTCCACTTCAGGAAAACGTCAATTGCCTGCTCCCGACGACAATAAAGCGCCGCTGTTCGGGATTGCACAGTATCAAATGCCAAAGCAAAGAGTGATGGATTTTGGCTGGTCTTCGGATGAGAACTACCATTGTGTTCGCTCTCTCGATTCCGCTGCGCTTGATTGTGCCTCAAATGAAGACAGCAGCAGCAGAAGGCTTTAGTTTTGCCCGTCGTCTTTGGTGGTTCCGCAGGCTTGACCAATGACTATGCTAGGTCTATAAATTACCCCTAAACAACTACCGCGAAACACTTTTCACCCCTTCTCACCGCGGCTGTTTGTGCTTGGAACCTGGGGGTTGATAGGATGTTCTTTTTCGAAGCTGACGCGCTTCGCGCCAGATGGTCCTTGTTGACGGGACGCATCAGCTCAGCCGAAACATCAACGGCTCGCAAAATGCACGACTCGGCCAACGGAAAAGATGGACGACATATTCGATACGCACCTCAACTCGCTTCAGTCCACGGATAAGCTGTTCGTACGCTTATAGTGGGTTTAGGCGACGAGTGGCATGCATCCGTAGCGAAATACAGTACATGAAGTTACATTCAGGGTGATGGCATCACCACTTGCTATTGCAATACATCGTTATTTTCAGAAGCCACTCTACGCGGCTTTCTACCGTATCATCCTTTCTTTGCAGGCCGCCTCACGTATGATTTATTTGGATCTTCGGCTCGCATGGCTGGAGGCTTGAGCTCACCCTTAGCCTTCTGCGGGTACGAGATCGCGTAGGACGAGAACAGAAACAAGGTTACAGATAAAAGGTATACAAAAAGATGGTCATGGTGGTGGTAGTGATGGTGGTGGGGGAAGGCCAGAGGGTGGACGGGGGGGAGGATGGGCACCAGGGAGTGCAAAAAACGAATAGCTCATGCTTTCTCAACTAGACGACAGTGCAAAAGGCTGAACGAATTCATATTCGCTCAGTGCACATATACGATGCATTGTAGCCCAACCACGAGCTAAGTATGAACGAGTGCAGAATGTCAGTGAAATGGAGTCAGCATTAGTGTAGTGGTTGAAATCGATACAGTGCAGCACAGCACATAGTTCACCTTGTTGCCCTTCTTTTGAAAGTCTCTCCAGCTGCTGACCTGGCAATGGGAGCAGATGCGGCCAAAATAAAAACACGAGGAGAATGACAAGAGAACAAAGAGGTGACACGAACCATTTGAGGTAAAAAGGAAGCAAATCGAACGACATAGATAAGAATCATACCTAAAGATATTGGGAAAGGCATAGAAAATCATCTGAAAGAAAAAGACGGCAGCGGCCAGGAGACATCCTCTCTGCACAATGTTTTCCATTCTTCATGAAAGCACACCAACATCACTCACCCTCAGGGCCTCGTCTCGTCTCCCGTGTTTACTATTAGCGCACCTGTGCAACATTTCATAGTACCACACTAGCACCACTCACCCTCGTCTCTCTGGTTTCCTCCCACTTCTGCGTGTGCTCCCTCTCCTTGAGGGTCTTCTCCTTTGTCTCCCTGCTTAATTCTTAAAGCAAGTATTTCACACGTTTTAGTGCCAAGCTAGAACCACACTCACCCTCGTCTCTCTGGTTTCCTCCCACTTCTGCGTGTGCTCCCTCTCCTTGAGGGTCTTCTCCTTTGTCTCCTCCTCCTCCTGCTGAATCTTCACCTCCTCTTCCTTTATCTGCTCCCCACATCCCACACACAAGCATAAGGGTTACAAACTTCCAACAGGCCTTAACTCCGACTGTGCTTAAGAAATGAGATGGTCTCAGAAAAAAAAACAACATAAAAAGTAATAGGAGAATGAAATGTTTCAGAAAACGTGAAAGAACAAAACCATGAGCACCCGCTTTGAGAGTTTTCTTCGCCTCCATTCGTTCGCTGTGAGAAGCTCACGGGCCTTCAACCGCCACAGCTCCTTGAACTCGGATGATGCCAGGAAGGCCGCTTCCTGTGTGTGAACACAGGGATATGCAAATTGATAAAAAGTAAGATAGGGAGGCACTGGTGTTGACAGCTCACGGGCCTTCAACCGCCACTGCTCCTTGAACTCTGATGATGCCAGGAAGGCCGCTTCCTGTGAGCGAGCACAGGGAGACGGGAAAACCTAAACCTTAATTCAAAACCTTCCCTCACATCAAAATTTGTAACTCGAGTGAGGCCTGAAAGTGCTGCTTATGGGTTGCCTCTAAACCACCTCCCCTCCCTCACTGTACCTCCTCGGCTTTAGACAGCCCGTTTTCAGCCGGCAAGCCTTGTGTTGCCTCTCCTTCTGAGTCGACTCTTAACACAGAGATTTGTGAGTCGCCTAGACCATGCCCCCCCCCTCACCGTACCTCCTCCGCTTTAGACAGCCCGTCTGCTGACGACTTGCCTTGCCTCTCCTTCTGAGTTGACAATTAACAAAGCAATTTCTGCGCCTAGACCATGGTCCTCCCCTCACCGTACCTCCTCTGCTTTAGACAGCCCGTCTGCAGCCGACTTGCCTTGCCTCTCCTTCTTCAGCCTCCTCTTGCGCTCTCTCAAGACATCCTCTGGTGTGCGGTGAGGAGATGGGGGGCGGGGATCAATGGCAGAAATGGAAGGAAGGTGGGGTGGTTGAGAAATAAAAAATGAACCGTCTCAGCATCCTCTAGCACTCCTTCGGCACGTCCTCTGGTGTGCTGCGTGGGGGGGGGGGGGGGGGGGGGGGGGGTGGGGGGGGGGGAAGAGTGAAAGAGTGGAAGAAGAATCACTATCACGATTCACACCCAAAGCCCATGGCTGTTTCAGTTCGAGTTGGAGCATACATTTGGCAGCTGCATGCATGTGACGTGAGGTACTTTTGAGACGTCTCAAAAGTTGGAGCATACATTTGGCAGCTGAATGCATGTGACGTGAGGTACTTTTGAGGCGTCTCAAAAGTTGGAGCATACATTTGGCAGCTGCATGCATGTGACGTGAGGTACTTTTGAGACGTCTCAAAAGTTGGAGCATACATTTGGCAGCTGCATGCATGTGACGTGAGGTAGCCCCACTCGCTCTGAGATGTCTCAAAGCAAGCTTACATTCACTTCTTGAAGCCCATGGCTGTTTGGGGTCGGGTCCGTCCGAGCTTACCTTTGGCGGCTGCAAACTGCGATGTGAGGTAACCCCATTCGTCTGAACTCAGAAGCTTCTCCTGTGCTTTGGCCACCACTGCAGGTGGGTGGGCGTATGGGAAGACACGAGGGTGTGAAGAGTGAGGGGCATTGGACAACGAGACACAAAGGAATGTAATGTGAGGTTTTCCATTTGTCTGAGGTCAGGGTGTAATGTGAGGTATTCCTTTCTGTGCTGTGGCCACCACCGATATGGGTGAGTGGAAAGGCAGTTGGAGTGCGAGCAACAGAGAGGGGCAGCGGTCAACACGGTACTCGTGCAATGGACGGGAATACCATGCAAGGATGGCGACACAGGTTTACAATCAAGAGAGAGTGTGACTTTCACAGCAGGTAAGTTTGTATGATCACCATCGAATGCTTCTCGTGCTTGAGGGTGCTTGCACTTGTCCGGGTGAATCATCAGAGACACCTGGGAGAGGGATCAGAGTGGAGCGACGGATCAAGGAGGCGAGATGGGTTAATAGGAGAGTGCATTATTCTAGATGGAAACACAGAATCAGGACACAAAAGACTAGAGGCAATTCTTTATGCGCGTAAGGAAAGCCAGAGGGGAATACAGAACGGCACCTGCTACAGTGCTTCGCGTGACGTTGTGATGAGGTTTCCTAGAAGTTGCCTCACAAGCCAGCTGGCAGCCAAAAATCGTACCTTGCGGTACTGCTTTTTAACGTCCTCCACTTTCGGATCAAATGGCAGGTTCATTTCAGCTGCTCTTATTGAGTCAACTCAGAATTCAAATTCAACCCACAAGCAAGCCATACCTTGCGGTACTGCTTCTTGACGTCCTCCACTTTGGCGTCAAACAACAGGTTCAGCTGCTCGAACGGAATCAGCTAGTGACATCGTAACGAGGTGCCTCAACAAGACAGCTGCCAGCCAACACTCGTACCTTGCGTCAGTCTTTGAGGCGCCTAAGAAACGTACCTTGCGGTACTGCTTCTTGACGTCCTCCACTTTTGCATCAAACGGCAGGTTCAGCTGCTCGAACGGATTCAGCTTGAAACACGCCAGGACCCTGAGGGCAAAGATGAGGAAGAGAGAAAGATGAGAAGGTAGGTGTTAAGAGCGTTGGGGGGATGGGGGGGTTCCTCCATTCTAACGACGAACGGCAGGTTAAGCTGCTCGAACGGTCTCAGCTTGAAACATGCCAGGACCCTGAGGGACACGAGGAAGGTGAGAGAACGAGAGAAGGGGGGGTTGTGTTGGAAGGGGAAGGGAAGGAAGGTAGACGGAGAGAGGGAAGGTATTGAGGGATGGCTCAGAAACGGTAATGAGAGAAGTCTCGAAGTCCGAGACTTGAGAAGCCAAAAGCATTCTCTCACTGCTATTTTATTGCTCGGAACTTCTCTCTCGTTCGACGCTGTGAGAGAATGCTACGGTCTTCTTCATTTGTCAACCGGCAGAATTTCCTGAATAAAAGATTCCCGGCAAGTAGGCTAATCTCAAACCAGCAATAACCAGGAATGTAGGCAACCTTCAGCCGTGATGTCCTGCTTCGCATCTTCGCATCTCGTCACCGCTCTGCATCGGACCTGCTCGTTTCGTTACCACTCTGCATCGCACCTGCTCGTTTCGTCACCGCTCTGCATCGCACCTGTTTACTTCGTTATCCCTCTCCACCGCGCCGACCTCAGCGAAGAACTCCCGCAGCAGCGCATCGTCGTCCGCGCCACTGCCCTCCGCCATCCGGAGCCCCTCTGATCCCCAGTAAACAAAACGCTGGGTTCCGGGTGAAAAAAACACTTAGCTTACAATCAACGTAATGCTCACTGCCTGATAAGTAAGTTAATGGCGCTAACTTGTCGGTATTATTGGTTATAAGTTCTAACTAAGTCTACAGGAGAGGATCTAACCCTAAGTTCCTAACTAAAGCGCGACGAGTCAGGTATCAGCAAACAGGAACGGCGAATGATCACAGGAAGAACTTGAGAACAAAGCAGTCATCCACTGATGTTGTCGCGGCTCCGGTTCGAGATGCCTCGACAAGGGGAGATGGAGATTTACGACTTTGGGACTGTTACAAAAAGTACATACCTATAACCCATTGTCACATTGAACAGTGTTATATAGTGATACATTTAGAAAGTAGAAAAAAATCTCATACCGTATGGCCCCGGATAGAAGCGCAGGCCTATGTTAAGCGCATGCGCTTGTATCTGGAGCAATGCGCTTATGGCCGATCCTCAATTATAAGCGCACCCCTTTGGAATTCTTGACTTATTATAAGCGCACTCGTTTAGTTAAAAAAAAAAAAGAATTTCATTTTTTTTAACCTACCTAGCCTACATGTTCTAAACTTTCCATTAAGAATTACTATCACATACAAGGGTGGTCTCTGCTGTCCTGCACTACACCCAGGGTTCTCGCTAGGTTTAGGGCCTGTCTGACAAAACCCTCAAAAAAATTTTCCCCGTCTTAGGCTTTGACGACGAAATTTGTGTGGTCTGCAGTATAAGATGAAATATTTTTCCTAGTCTGATAAACTAGACGAAAAAAAAAACCAAGTCAGCCTACAAGAACACTACCTGCAATTATACTCATTCTATCAAACAACCTAGGCAGTAGCTAAGGACCTAGTCAGACTCACTAGAGCCGTAGTCCTCATTGCTATCACTACTACCATCCTCACTCCCCACGGGAACTGTGGCCCGTTCTTTCCTGGTAAGCCACGGGTACTCAACATCCATCCTTGCTGCTTCTGCTACCAGGGCCGCTTCTCGAGCAGCTGCTTCTGCTGCTGCGAGTGCAGCTGTTGCTGCTGCAGCTGCGGCCGATCTCTTCCTCGCACGCTTGCTCTGTCTCTCCCCGGACGCCATCAGCACATCGTTAGCAGGCCTTCGCTTCTTGGAAGCATTCCACCTCCTCAGCAACTCGGGCCACTCCATGTCGTAGTTAAGGAGCGACACAGCCATCAGCTCTCCCAGCTTCGCGTCGCACAGGTTCCCGCGAAGCCAACTCTTGATGATGTTTTGTCGTGAGAAGCCGCGCTCGCACTCGACGGTACTGAGCGGAAGCACGGCGACAGCCATCCACAGGTGGACGAGGTTCGGGTAGCACGTCGCCCAGTCGGGGGAGGACAGCATGAGTTTCAGGCTCTCCGCACACCCGACATCCTCTTGGTGTGTGGCCAGGATGGTAGAGAAGGTGACAAGCTCTCGCTGCGCTCTCGCCCAGTTGATGCCTGCGGTTGGGGTGCACATGGGAACATGGGAACATGTAGTGTTTAGACAAGCATGTGGAGACAACGCTAAACATACAGCTCATTCCCGGCATTTAACGCACCTGGTATAGTGTCAGGGTCATCTGGCTTCCGCTTGAACATGTTGCGCAGAGACTGGAGCCATTGGCCTAGCCGTCGCTCACGCTTTGCCTGGTTCTTGGGATAGAATCTCTGCTTGAACAGCTTCGCCCCGTCGAGGTTTGACAGGTCCTTGAGGCGGTAGTCGAGCCGGCCGACCAGGGTCGTGATGAACTCGCGCGCCAGCACCAAACACGCTTGGTGGTCCACACCGCTCGTCTGCCCCTTGATTTTCTCCTCGTGCAGTCGGTATCGATGGCTGACCGATGTGCCGTCGGAAGCAGTGCCAGCAACGAGGACCTCGCGGAACTCCCCAGATGCGTGCTTGTCGAGGAACGGGCCCAACGCGTCTCCCCCCTGACCAAACATCGCGTCGTCGCAGTCGAGGTAGCGTGTGCGCAGCAGTAAGGTCGTGTTGTGGACCATCGGCAGCACATGGGTTGCCTCAACCTGTAAACGGGGGTGCACAAGCAGGATGGTTAGTAGGAGATTGTAAATGAAAAAACCGGCCACGTGTAACTCGGGAAACTGCTTACCTGACGCCGCTGAAACTTCAGGCTTAGCAGGTTGAGCTCCTTCAAGACGTCAGAAAGGAAGAACAACAGGAAATGGAACTTATAGCTCGTGACGACGTGATACATCTTCTTGTTTGTTTCGTGCAACACCATGACTGCAGCAGGAAAAACCTTCACCAGGCGCTGGATGGCGTCACCACGCGACAACCACCTGACGTCCTTGATGCCTTGAACTTCAAGCTGGGTCTCGCAAATGACCTCCTGAAGCTCTTGAAACCGGGCGTGGTTAACACAGGAACGACCGAGGTTCTCAGCCACGGCGCGGACCACCTTGTCCACGACGCTGAAGTCAGGATGCTTGGCGGCAGCATCCTTGGCCGCCAAGGCCTCCCTGCAAGACAGCAGATGGTAACATTAGCACGGGTTTTTTAAAAAAAAAGTAGGCAGGAAACGCGCAGTAACAACGCCTACCTGTGCGCGATGCAGTGAGACGACACAAGGTGAGGAACCTTGACTTTCAGGCGCGCGGTGACTCCGTTGTGCTGTCCAAGCATGACGGAAGCACCATCAGTGCTCATACCGGTGAGGCGCTGTAGGTCGATGCCGGTACTCTCCAGATGCGTCAGGAGCACTGTGGTGAGTGACGCGGCGTCACACTGCTCCACACTGAGCAAGGCGAAGAACTCCGTCACGGGTGCGTTGTCACGCATGAACGTCAAATAGACGATCATGTGCTTCCCCCGCCGTCGGTCGGTGCTCTCGTCTAGCTGGATGCCAAGGTACGGACTGTCGCGGATGTGCTTCAGCTGGCGGGACTTGAGGTAGCACACCATGGTCTCGACCAGTTGTGCGAAGCCGTACCTGAGACACCACGGGTTGATACTCGTTAGACTCGTAACCAAATAACAATAAAAAGATGAGTAAAACGGGACACTTACTCGCTGTAGTACGTCCCGTTCTCCTTCAGGGGCAAATCCGGTGTCCCCTGCTCTGCCATGAATTGAACCAAAGCCACGAAAAGAACAATGGGAGCATCAGACTTGCAAATGAATAGCACGATAGCCATCAACCGAGCAATACGCTTGACATCAGCGTCCCCACGGTGGAAGTCAGCAATTGACTTCTGCACTTTCTTGACGCCGTCGCGCTCCTCCTTCCTCAAGACCGCGGCCTCGTGTTTCAGACTGTGGTGATGCTTGCGCATCGTCTGCTTCTGGATGTCGATGCCGCCATCGCCGTTACGCCCGTATTTGTCGTTCGGGTCACCGAAGACCATGCAGACGCTGCAGCGCATGCACGGGCGGCCTGCCTTGTTTTCGGAGATGAGGAGCCAAGGAAAATACCGCTGCCACTGCTGCTTGCACTTCAACTGAAGCTCCTCAACCGACAGTTGCTTGCCCTTCGGGTCTTCGAAGTCTTCACTCGCGGGTTCAGGTTCTGGTTCCGCGGGGCGCGGAAGAACTGACGATGCTGGCTGAGTCGGACCGCCCGGACGGCAGACGGTGAGAACACGCTGTTTATACCGCTTCTTCATAGATCTGTCAGGCAAGACGGGGTTAGCACTGCGAGAGGTTGTGGCGACCGACACTGGAGGGATGCTCTTATTTGCACATTCGTCAGGGAGCGGGGGGGATAACAGCGTTGTTGGGGTAGTCGTTGCTGGCACGTGTTGATCGCCATTTTCCGAGTTGGGCAAAGGTACCGCAGCAGAGGTCGACGCAATCGGAGGGGCAGCAGAAGCGATCTGCTTGCCCCGCGTTAGGAAGTCTAGGGCGGAAAGCACGGGCTCCCCATCGCACGGTCCGCCGGCTGTGACGGCCATAGCCTAAACGCTGGGAAGCGTCACGCTGGGAAATCAGACGCTGGGAGGGAAACGATCCATGCTCGGCTGGGAGAGAGGTGAGGACGAGCAGGAGAAACAGGCTTGTTTTCGCGCCAGACCCAGCTGCATGAAACCTCATCACCGTGCACTGCACTCAGAACCGAAAGGCGGTGCGTGTTGGGAGCGGGGGGCACTACGACCACAGTGATGTGTTGCGCGCCCTCTACGAAAAGCAAATGCGCTGGCACAACGGGACAGCGCGTTGTCGTGGCTGTGGCTGGCGTCGGCGCCGACAGCCACCCAAACGACAAACACCTGGCAGCATATGCCGCAGATACATGCCAGCGAGGCTGCACAAGGCAGTTACAGAGCTGTATAAGACACGCGTAATGAATGCGTGCAGTTACAAGGCAGCAATCGGCTGTACCTGTGGTGGTCCTGTCCTCTGGTCAACTGGGCCTATGGCCTAGTGGGTCAAGTTGTCGGTTTCAGACGAAACCGAACTCGCTATCTGTATCCTCAGATAAAAAATTCTACACGTCTGAAAAAATCATACGAACTTAAAAGTCAAATCTTGCTCATCAGATGAGAACAAACACAAAATCTTAGGATTAAGATGAATACAAAAAAACGAGTCTTAAACGCAGACCATCAGACCAAATTGGTCTGATAACGAGAACCCTGACTACACCTTTCAACCTGCCTAGTCTACCCTACTGCCTTTTCTTCCTCCTCGTCCGACTCAGGCTCCGTGGAGTTGTTGCCCCAGAACCCATCTGCCTGGATGTCGTCGTCCACCTCCACCTCATGGGACAACTGGCACCTTCGGTGCGCTAGCACCAGTTTGTCTTCGCTCCCATCAAGGGCGTTGCTGATGCCGCAAGTGAGGAAGGCTTTCTTGATGAGGTCGGCGGGCACCGCCTTCCAGGCCCGTGAAATCCACTTGAGCACCACCTCCGGAGGTGGTTTCTTGATGTTCCCTGCATCACACGGAGTGGGGCGGGGAAAACATGAGACAAGTAAACATGCATTCAAGCTCAAGATTTGCAGACGGGAGCACATGCCGTCACTCACCTGCCGGGGTCAGGATGTTCATGCCGTCCTCCTCAAACCAATTTTGGTACTGCTGACGAATGCTTGCTTTGAAGCTTTTGTTGATCGACACATCGAGGGGCTGCAGGTCTGCCGTGCAACCCGCCGGAATGATAGCAGGCACGATGTTGAGCGCCGCGAATCTCGCCTTGACTTCTGGTGTCAGGTGACCGCGATACGAGTCGAGCACCAGCATGGCGCTACGACTCTGCAGGCCGAATTTCGGCTTCAGGAACGGCACCACGCCCGTGTTGAGCCACTCGATGACGCCTGCGGCCTCCATCCACCCGTTGGCTTGGCAGCCGACCACAACATCTGCACGCAACGAAAAAGAACAGTTAACGACTCAGGTAGTAACGGGAATAAACACGGTGGACGATCACTTACCGTTCGGGAAGTCACCCTTGGGGAGTGTCTTGCGCTTGAAAAACACCCACGGCTTCAGCTTCTCGCCCGTCGCCGTGCACGCAAGCATGACGGTCACTCTCTCCTTCTGGTACCCACCGCTGCGAATGGGCACCGACCTCACGCCCGTCTGCTCCACGGTGGTCGTCGCCGGCATCTCTAACCACAGCGGTGTCTGGTCGGCGTTGATGATGTAGCGGTTGTCAATGTCGTATTCGTGACGGGCGTCACGTACGTACTGCCAAAAATCATTGCACTGCTCAGCCACGTCTGCAGAACAGGGAGAAAGGTACATACAGTAAACCAAATTAGTATGACGCATAGGAGACATGCGAAAAAAACTAAGCGCAATCGGGTACCCACCAAAATCAGCAGTAAACGACCCACTTACGCTCCTGTGTTTTCTGTGCCACCTTTGTTTTCATGCGCACGCTGAGGTTCCACCGCCTGCGGAACCGCTCCGTCCACCGCTGACTGGCTTTCCACTTGACGTCCGGGTATAGAACCTTCATCACTTCTTTGGACCACTCTTGCAGCCGGCCGACCGAAACCGCAACTCCGCGGCGTCGCCAGTCGAGGAGTTGCGCGTACACCTTTAACTCCATGGGGCGGTACCAAGACGACCTCCCGCGCCCGTGAAGTCGCATCCGTGCTCCGTGTGCAGCCTTGAGCGCATCCGCTTGGGCTTTCCATTCTGTCAGACATTTTCGGTGAATGCCTGACTCCCGCGCCACTTCGCTCACCGAAGCCGCAAGCTCGAGCCGCACGAGCCACCTCAACTTCTCCTGGGCGGTGTAGGACTGCCGCTTATGTTGATTCAGCTTGTGCCTGGGGGAGGGGGGGCGGGCATCTCGATTCTCGGTAGACGGGTGGGGGCGTTTTTTATTAAGGGGCGGATATGTCGGTACCGGCATCTTCGCGCGTGGTGCGTCGCGCCACCAGGACTCCACACCGTCCTCGTCCTCGTCACGGTCGGGGAACACGTCTTCCTCGTCGCCCGCTGCACCGTCGCCACCAGCTTCACCGTCGCCTCCAGCTTCGCCGGCGCCGCTGTCATGTTTATCGGTAGCCACATCATCGTCGGCGCCCACAGCCGACTCATCCCACGCGCAGGATTCTGGTTGTCCCCACCGTGGTGCAGTCGCTGGAGCTTAGATGCGTGCATCGCGGGCCTTCGGTGTGTCCGCTTCAGCCAACCATTCGTCGAACGTGGCTGGTAAATACAGTTGGAGCACGGGCCGTTGGTGAGCACCTGCCGTGGCAAAAGCAGGCGGATTCGGAGGAGCGGGAGGTGCGGGAGGAGCGGGTGGAGCAGGGGGTGCAGGGGGAGCAGGAGGAGCAGGGGGTGCAGGGGGATCCGGTGGCACTGGAGGCGCTGGTGGCTCACGGGTATACCACCCGTCTTCGGTAAGTCGCCATGTGCGGCGTGGCTTTTTCTTGAAGAGGATGCTCGTCCCACTAAATTCCGCCATGGCTTCGCCTGCCAGGCGGGGTTGACAAGGAACTGAATGAAAAAATCAGAGAAGAGGGTGAAGAAATGGGCAACGACGGTGACCCCTGCTGTGTGACGGCTCGGGTTCCTCGTCGATGACAGGCAGGAAACCCCCGCCCACTCCCGTAGAGGCGCCTGCGTGGCAGCATCTACGCTGCGCTGGCAGAGAATCTTGCCGAACCTTCGAGATGGTTCTGCCCGAATGCACATGCCTCGCAGCGCATGCGGCTCTGATTGGGCCGCACGACAACATCATCGTCACGGCTGTCACATTCTATGTTTCCAGACAACATTGTGCGGTGGTAAACCGAACCGCTGCGGTTTCTGCCTGAAAACCATGCACGATCCCACTTGGTGCATGGTCGGTTGAATTCGCCTTATTGAGAGCTTCACAATGGTGTGTTCAAAATTGATTTTCATTTTTCCCTTTATACAAGCGCATGCGCTTATAAATCTGACTCAATTATAAGCGCACCCCCCCAAAAAACAATGTTTTATTATAAGCGCAGGTGCGCTTCTATCCGGGGTATTACGGTATTTACAAGCTCCGATCACAAAACACTTACCCTATGTGTATAGCCAGTTGAAACGCACAACATTGCCTAACGCATGCTAATAAAGACGACCACGGCATTTCTTGGCTCCACAATGGCAGGGGCAACCCGGTCCATCCACTAAACTGTAATGATAGTCATATGACAACTCCTCTCCTGCTGCTATCTGCAAACAAAATGACAAACAGATCGTTAAACGAACAGCAAACGGAAAGAGAAATCAACAGCAAACAGAGGGGGTAAGTGAAATCAAAAGTAGTAGTAACAATTGTCAGAAGCACAGCAGCACATCTAGAAAAAAAAACTTCCAACCTAGTCCAATCAGTAACACCTGGAGATATCCAAACGCTCAATTACAAAACCACAGAGCACACTTGCTCATTACAAGCACACCAGAGGACTCACATCTCGGTCGGCAAACAGGCCGATGTGCGCCAGCTGGCAGTCCATGCTCTCCACAAGCACCGAGTAGTTCACCAGGTTGGGGTCACAGCTGGGAGGGGGAGTATGGAGGGAGTATGGAGGGTGAGGGGGAGTATGAAGTGGGGTGGGTCAGAGAAAATCGCAGAAGATGCGAAGAGCAGAGCTGGCAGTCCATGCTCTCCACAAGCACCGAGTATTTCACCAGGTTGGGGTCACAGCTGCGGGGGGGGGGGGGGAAGAACCCAGGGGAAGGGGGAAAGCGTGGAGAAGTGGGGCGCAGAAGTGGGAAAAAGAGAGGGAGGTGCAAATATACGAGATGGCAGTCCATGCTCCCCACACGCACCGAGTAGTTCACCAGGTTGGGGTCACAGCTGGGAGAAGGACCCAGGGGAGCGGGTATAGGTGGAGGGAGGAGTGAGATTCGGGGATTGGGGCTGAAATTCAGAGAAAATAACAACAATCAGGTCCTGATTGTTGGTTTTTCAGGAGTGAGAAAATATTGTGGATTATGGAATATTAGGTCAGGAAAAACCAACAATCAGGGGATCATGAAACAAACAGCAGTCCCGAATACCCGGGAATGTTTTGTTAGATCGAACATGCCACACACCTGTGGTTGATGAACCTTGCAATGTTCCCCTGGCAATCACAAAGTGCTGCTGCTGCTGCTGCTGCTGCTGCCACAACCGCAACTGCTCTAATGCTCAGAGAATTCTGGTTCCTCCAACATGCCACACACCTGTGGTTGATGAATCTTGCAATGTTCCCCCTCCGAGTGGCGTCAATCACTAAGTGCTTCTGCTGTTGCTGCTGCTGCTGCCGCATCGTCAGCCCCACCTCCTCCAGCTCCCAATCTTCCACGTCCCCCACATCCCACCACTCCTCTGCCAGATTCAATATGCCACTCACCTGTGGTTGATGAATCTTGCGATGTTTCCCTGCCGCGTCGCATCAATCACAAAGTGCTGCTGCTGCTGCTGCTGCCGCAGCGGCTTCTTCAGCCCCACCTCCTTGAGCTCCCAGTCTTCCATGTTCCCCACATCCCACCACTCCCCCTTCTCCTCCAACTCCTCTTCCTCATCCTCCCATCCCTCCTCACGCCTCTTCCATTTCTCTTTGATTCTCTCCCTCTCCAGCTGCTCGCTTCTCCTCACCCACCCAGCAGCACGCCCACCAGTCCGCGCCAACCTCCTCCTTCTCTTGACCAACGCATTGCCCTGGTTCTTTAAACTACGCGTCTCTTCTCTTGATAATTTCCCACTTGAACCACAGTGCAAAGCAGCACGGGGTGCGTCCATGTGTGCGTCTATATCGTACAGATAAGAGCCAATCTCAGGGTATGCCTGTGCGCGTGTGGCTGCTTCTGTGCTGCCCACCACTTCTCCAATGTACTCGCACACAAAGGTGCCTCGCTTCAGTTGTTCTGCTGCTCGCACCGCCCAGCCCTGCATGAGGGGAGCATAGTGGGCACTCAGAGTAGGTGTGAGAGTGTCTGCCGGCTTGGCTTCTGTACTGCCCGCCACCTCTCCAATGTACTCACACACATAGGTGCCTCGCTTTAACGGCTCTGCTACTCGCACCTCCCAGCCCTGCACTGCACGCAGAGGTGAAGGGGGAGATACGAAGAAAGGCGTATTGAGGGGAAAACCGCTTGCACACATAGGTGCCTCGCTTTAACGGCTCTGCTGCTCGCTCGCACGGCCCAGCCCTGCATGAGGGGCAGGAGCACATGTGTAAGCAACAGCACAATCATGTTGAGAGAGGGTGAGACAGAGTGAGCGAAGCTGACCTCGTGAGGAGTGAGCAAGCGACTGGGTGAGGGGACAAGTGAGTGAGTGAGTGAGAGAGTGAGTAGAATGGAAGAAGCTGACCTCGTGAGTAGTGAGGAAGCGACAGGGTGAAGGGACGAGTGGGTGAGTGAGTGAGTGAGTGAGTGAGTGAGTGAGTGAATGATTGAGTGAGTGAGTGAGTGAGTTAGTTAGTCAGGAGAATGGAAAAAGCTGACCTTGTGTGTGGAGAGAAGAAGAGCTCAAGGTGGTGTTGGATGCCTCGCTGCAGCACCCGATTGGGGCACTTGATGCCATGCCATGCCATGCCATGTGGCATCCAGTCAGTCAAGTCAATCAGACAGCAAACTGAGAGGGGCTGACCTTGTGAGGAGTGAGGAAGAGCTCAAGGCGATGCTGAATGCCCCGCTGCAGTACCCGATTGGGGCACTTGAGGGCATCGCACCCACAGCGTGCATTGCACTCGTAGACCAGGAGGCATCTCTGATGGGCGGAGGGGATGAGAGCAGGGCATGCTAAGCAGGAAACATAAACACATACTTTTTTGTGTGTTTTTTTCTTTCTTTCTTTCCAAAATAAGTCCCTGCAAGTACAGGGCAAGTGGCAACACACTGCAGTCAGCGAGGGTCCATCCATGCAATGATAAAAACAGTCCATGCCAGGACACTTTGCCTAAGACGAGCAAAGAGTTCATTCGGTCCGGAAACACCACAGAAGTCGCTCCTTTTTTTTTTTTTTTTTTTTTTTTTTTTTTTTTTTTTCCTGTTCCATTTTTCCCATACCCGAAGCACGCAATCTTTTTTCCTACCTGAAGCACGATCCTGCCGTTGCTGTCGTAGGCAAAGCGTCCTCGCATGGACTTCCCATTCACGTCGCACGCTTCACCCTCCGTGTCCTGCTGGGAGTGCGCCACGTGGTCACACACCCTGGGATCACAGGCAGGGCCCTCGCATTCACAACCCAGCTGCCAGCTCTGGAGGAGGAGAAAGTGAACAAAGGAGTGAAAGAGAGCGAATGAGTTCCCCACTCCCTTCTCATATCACACCGATCCCTCTCCGTGTCCTGCTGGGAGTGCGCCACGTGGTGTGGTCGCACACCCTGGAATCACAGGCAGGGCCCTCGCACACACAGCCCAGCTGCCAGCTCTGGAGGATTTAGGGTTAAGAAGAAGTGAAGGGAAGAGGGGGCATAAACTCCCTGCGTGTCCTCCTGGGGGTGTGCCACGTGGTCATAAACTCCCTTTTTCTCACCACAGCCACCAACCCCCTCGGTGTCCTGTTGGGAGTGCTCCACGTGGTCGCACACCCTGGGATCGCACGCTGGGCCCTCGCATTCACAACCCAGATGCCAGCTCTGGTGGAGGAGAAAGGGAACAGAGGAGTGAAAGAGGGAGAATGGGTTCCCGACTCCCTTCTCATATCACTCCGACCCCCCTCTGTGTGCTGCTGGGAGTGCGCCACGTGGGTGGTCGCACACCCTGGACTCACAGGCACAGCCCTCGCACACACAGCCCAGCTGCCAGCTCTGGAGGAGGAGAGAGTTCAGGGTTGGGAACAGAAGATTGAAGCGAAAATGGGAGTCTGAGCTTTTTATTCTCAGCCACCACCCTTCTCAGTGTGCTGCTGTGAGTACGCCACGTGGTTGGTCGCACACCCTGAAATCACATGCAGGGCCCTCGCACACACAGCCCAGCTGCCAGCTCTGGAGGAGGAGAGAAAGGAGGAAAGAAGGAGTGAAGGAGAAAGAAATTCACAAAGAAAGAAGGGAGCCTACGTTTCCGTTCACGTTGCACGCTCCCACCTACCTCCGTGTCCTCATGAGTCATTTTTGAGACGTCTCAAAAGTCATTCATCTTGCACGCTCCCACCTACCTCCGTGTCCTCCTGAGTCAGGGGGATGATTTCGGCGCCTGAAAAGTCAACTCACAGTGAGATCGAGCCCAAGGTTGGGGTCGAAGTACCGCTGCGTGATGTACTCAAACTCCCTCCACCGCTCCCAACCCCCTCCCTCCTCCTCCCCTTTCCTCTCCCCACCCCTCATTCCCTGCATCACTGCCCCGTCCACCACACATAGTATCGGCACCCGCTCTTTCCCCCCACTCAGATCCGCACACACCACCAGGGAATCTCTCTCTCCTTTGGACATGGCACCACCTGCTTCACGAAGCTTTTTTCTCTGGTACACGATCACACCAGCTGTGGCAGCTGTAGCATCTGTAGCAGCAGCTGTAGCTGCTTCAGAAGCTTTGGCACCTGCAGCAGCTGTAGCAGCGGTAGCAGCAGTAGCAACTGTAGCAGCGGTGGAACGTCTGTCCCCTCTGGTTCGCGAACATCCGTCTGTGACAGCACTGTTCCTCCCAACAGATTCTGACACCGATGCCCCTGCTGTTGCTGCTGCTGCTGCTGCTGCTGCTGCTGCTGCTGCTGCTTCTGCTGCTGCTGCTGTTGCTGTTGCTGTTGCTGTTGCTGTTGCTGTTGCTGTTGCTGTTGCTGGGTGTGCCTCTGATCCTGCCGCTGCAGCTGCCAATCGTGCTGTAGCAAACCTTTCTGCACCACCACCAGCTTCTCTCGCTCCCTTTGCCGGAAAAAACGAAGAAGCCCTTTGGGTGTCTCTTCTCCTCTTCGCCCCCACACATGTGCCCTCACCCTCTCCTTTATCCTCCTCTCTATTTCTCCGTGTATTTGCCCTAATCATCCTCCTGAACTCATGCAAATCTTGAACGGCCTTTCGAGCAACGGTTCTCCGACCTTGTGAAACATCATCACCATCATTAGCATCATCCTCACCATCACCACCAGAATCACCATCCTCCTCCTCCTCCTCTCCCTCTGTTTCCCGTCCCCACTCTCTGTCTCCCTGCTTCCTGCTCTCTATCCCGCCCTCTTCCCCCCTCCCTTTCTGAATTCCCCGCTCTGTCCCCCTCTCAGTTACTCCATCTCTCACCTTCCATCTGCTACCTCCCCTCAGCACCAACTCCCTCCACCCCTTCCAGTCCTCTCTCCACCAATCGCCAGCGTCCATTCTGCTCCGCTGGCGCTCTACCACTGGCCGCAGAGCGTTCAACCGAGCAGACACCAGCTGCAGCAGCTGCCATAGGCCCGGGTTCACTTGAGGGTTCTCTTGAGAGTTAACATCGCCAGAAGTATTAGCAGCAGGAGCAGCGGCAGCAGCAGCAGCAGCAGCAGCAGCAGCAGCAGCAGCACCACCACCACCACCACCAGAAGTATCGCCAGCAGCAGCAGCTCGAGTCACAAGGGTATCTATCCTCTCTGACAGACGACACAGCAGAGCCGCGCTGAGGGCTGGCACCCCATCACCCTGGCGCAAACCACTCTCTCTCACACCTCTCTCCCTTGACTCCCCATCTCTCATATCACCGTCCCCCATGTCACCCTCCCTCACATCACCATCCCTCATACCACTCTCCGCAATACCACCAACTGCTACCGGTCCATCTGCCAGGGCAGCCAACTTCCCTACGTCTCCCTCAACAAACGCTCCAAACAGCTTTCGCGGCGCCTCAAATCCCGGTCCGCCTGCCAAGGCTGCCCACCCACCAGCCAGAGCAGCCCACTGCCCTACGTCTCCCTCAACAAACGCTCCAAACAGCTGCCTCACCTGGAGCTTCAGCTCTCGCACTTCGGTACCACTCTCACCTTCTTTACCATCATCAGCTTCATCATAGTCACCACGGATAGAATCACTTTCGTTGTAGTCACGATTACGAGCAGTGCCATCACTGTCACGATGTGCCTCCTCGCAGAGCCCCTGACTGCGCATGTGGTAACCACCATCCTTGTGGTAACCACCATACTTATGGTAACCTTCCTCATCACAACCCGTCATGTGCCGGCCCTCCTCCTCCTCCTCCTCCTCCTCCTCCTCATGGGTCTTCCCACGGCCCTCCTCCTCCTCATCACCTTCATAATACTCCGCATCCTTATCCTCATAGTACATATCCATTGCTTGTTTTCGATGCTGCAGCCGCTGCCGCTGCCATTGTCTTGCGTCTTCTTGACGTTGCTGCTGCCGCTGCCTCTCCTGCTGCTGCTGCTGCTGCTGCTGCTGCTCTTGTTGCTGTTGCCATCTCTGCTGCTCTGATTGCTGCACATGCTCCCTTGCGTGCTGCTGCTGCTGCTGATGATGATCCTGCTGCTGTCGCCTGTGGAACTGGCACAGCGCGGAGGGGGGCAGCACCGGCACCTGGCACGGCCCGCCTCTCTTCGTAACGCCACTGCACAGCACGATCAGCTTCTCTTTTCTCCGCTGAAACGAGCTCCTCACACTGCCAAAGCTCAAACCTCTTGCTGCTCCTGCTGCTTCTCCTACTCCTGCCTCTGCTCCTGCCTCTGCTCTTGCCTCTGCTCCTGCTCCTGCCCATGCTCTTGCTCTCTCCTCTTCTAATCCTCCTCTTCCTTCTCCTCCATTGCAATCAGCACCAGGACCAATGCCAACAGCTCGCTCACACACACTATCAGCACCAGAACCATACATGCCTAAGGAAAAGTCACCAATGGGTTCCAACTCCCCCAAATCCACTTCCCCATCGCTCAACCCCTCTCCACCTCTCAACACCCTTCCATCTCCTCCTCTCCCCCCTCCTTCCCTTAAAGCTTCTTCCCCCCCTCCCCGGTGCATTCGTTCTGTCGCAATCCCTCTGTCTCCCTCACTATTCACTTCCACATCTCTCACTCCTCCAACTCCCACCCCGTCCCCTCCCATCCCCCCACCAGCATGAGCACTGCAGAAAACCTCCCCAGGCCTGGCCTTGCGGGGGCACTTTCTGCCGCTGCTTAGCAAACCAAAACACTTAACCACACCACTGCCCGCTGGCCCCTCTGGTGCTCCTGCTGCCACTACTGCCGCTGCTGCTGCCACCCCTTGTGCTGCTTCCGCTGCTGCTGCCCCTGCTGTTGTTGCTCCGACTCCTGATGCTACCTTAGCACAGGTAGTACCAGCCGGCACAGCCACAGCCACAGCCGCAGCAGCAGCAGCAGCAGCAGCAGCAGCAGCATCAGCTTCTGTGCCCACAACATTACGGTTCACAGTCCCAGGAGATGCGAGAATTGCAGCAGTGGCACCACCATCATTACCACCACCGCCACCAGCACCAGCACCAGCACCAGCACCAGCACCGTTACCACCACCAGCACCGCCACCACCACCGCCACCGCCACCGCCACCGCCACCGCCACCACCGCCACCACCACCGCCACCACCACCGCCACCACCACCGCCACCACCACCGCCACCACCACCGCCACCACCACCACCACCAGCAGAACCACCGCCACCGCCCACAGAAGAGGGAAGGAACCCAAAGATCCCTCCGTTTTTGGACCAGAGCCTCTCCCTGCCAGGCGTGCCCGTCACCCCACACGCTGCCACGGCGGCCAGCAGAGGGCGCTTGAAGGCCGCCCACGCTGCTGCTGGTTGCGGCGGCTGAGACACCTTCCAGAGGTCTTCCACGTTTGCCCAAAGGATGGCTGAAGAGAGCTCCTGGTGGGGGGAGACGGGGGTACAGACAGACAGAGTGAATGAATAGCAAGGGAGGAAACAGAGGGCGCTTGAAGGCCGCCCACGCTGCTGCTGGTTGCGGCGGCTGAGACACCTTCCAGAGGTCTTCCACGTTTGCCCAAAGGATGGCTGAAGAGAGCTCCTGGTGGGGGGAGACGGGGGTACAGACAGACAGAGTGAATGAATAGCAAGGGAGGAAACAGAGGGCGCTTGAAGGCCGCCCACGCTGCTGCTGGTTGCGGCGGCAGGACGACTTTCCAGAGGTCTTTTGAGACGTCTCAAAAGTCGTCTACTTACACACGAGACTTTCCAGAGGTCTGAGACGTGCGACCAGAGGATGGCTGAAGAGAGCTCCTGGAGGAGAGGGAGGGGGAAAAGGGCAGTAGATGGGAGTTAAGAGGTAAGGAATATGAAAGGGGAAGGAAAGAGAAGGTGCTTTCAGAGAATGAATATGAGGAGAATTTAGTGTACCTGAGGGCCCGGCCTGGCCTGTGCTCAATCCTACCAGAGGGACTGAGTGTACTCTGGTGTTGTTTACCTGAGGGACCCGAGGGACTGAGGGACCTTAGGGTACCTACCTAAGGGACTGAGTGTACTCTGGCGTTTTTGAGACGTCTCAAAAACACTCTTCTTTCACCTGAGTGTACTCTGGTGTTGTTTACCTGAGGGACTGAGGGACCGTAGTGTGCCTGAGGGACTGAGTGTACTCTGGTGTTGTTACCTGGATGCGTGAATGCACTGCTGGTGCTGAGTTGGTAGCTAGGCATTCATTGGTCCAGCTGGCGTGGCGGGATGAGAGCCAATCAGGATGCAGCAGCTGTGGCAGGATGATCTGCAAGAATGGAAAGACGGAGGGAGGGAGGCAGAAACGGAAGGAAGGAGGGGACAGAGGGGCGGGTGGGAAGATAAGTAAAAAAGTTTGGAAAGAATGGGTCAAACAATATTGAGGATACGGGTAAGAAATGCTTTGAATGATAAGAACATCTGACTGATGATGCCGGTGTGCAAAGATGTGTCGTGCTGACTGACAGGCTGAACTGAACTGAACTTGAGGGGTTGTATGAGAGGTCTCAACAACTACCCACGAATCTAGTTTTGAGGCGCCTCAAAGCTTGATGCTGAACATCTGACTGATGATGCCGGTGTGCACAGATGTGTTGTGCTGTCTGATAGGCTGAACTGAACTTGAGGGGTTGGATAAGAGGTCTCAACAAACAACTCCCAACGAATCTCAGGGTGCGTTCCTGGTTCGTGGCAGGGCCACTGTAGATGGCAGCCTGCCACGAACACATAAAACGCCAGGTTGGTGTCAGGAATTTTGGCGCGCAAATACAGGTGCGTGATTGGGCAATGTCCCAAAAATGTCATGTCAATTCCACCAAAATCGTGTCGCGCGCGACTCGGGCAAAATGTTGGTGGCATGCGGTTTTCCCGCATGCCACCAACAGTGCCTGCTACAGTGGCCCTGCCACGAACCAGGAACGCACCCTCAGCCACCCTTCACACTTGCCAACCCCCCTTGAAAGGCAAACCACTTGCCTGGCAGAGATACCAGCAGCCCGCCCTGGCCATCCTAGTCACCACTCCTTACCGCTCTCAACCACTCTCAACAGCATGTATAGAAAGTCACTTGCCTGGCAGAGATACCTCAGCAGAAGCCCTCCCTGCTGCTCATACGACTCGGCTCCAGGACCATCGTAGTCACCACGAGTTACCTCTCTCAACCACTCTCGACCTTGAAAAGCAAGTCACCTGCCTGGCAGAGGTCGCTCAGCAGCTCTCCCTGCTGCTCATACGACTCGGCTCCAGCAATGTCCTTCTCATCGCTTCTTACCGCTCTCAACCACTCTCATTGACATCTATAAAGCAAATCACCTGCCTGGCAGAGGTCGCTCAACAGCTCTCCCTGCTGCTCATACGAGTCGGCTCCAGCACCCCTTTCAGCAAAGCCAGACCAGAACGAGACGGAGCGAGCCGTCAGCACCACAGCCTAACAGAAGGAGGAGGGACGTTGGGGATGGGATGGCCAGGAGGAGCAACAGGGGAGGAGCAAGAGAGATGGAAGGGGGAAAAGGAAGGTTCGGAAGAGGAGCAGGAATAGTACAAGGGAGCAAAAGGAGAAAGAGAAGGAAGAAAACGGGAGGAGGAGCAGGAGCAGTGGGCGGAGGGACAGGGAGAGAAGGAAGAGTCGTACTCTTTATTCGTTCAGCGGCGACTTCTGAGTCGACTCAAAGGACAGGGAGAGAAGGAAGGGAGAGAAGGAAGAGGGAGAAGGACGGGAGAGAAGGAAGAGAGAGAAGGAAGGGAGAGAAGGAAGAGAGAGAAGGAAGGGAGAGAAGGAAGATAGAGAAGGAAGGGAGAGAAGGAAGAGAGAGAAGGAAGGGAGAGAAGGAAGGGAGAGAAGGAAGGGAGAGAAGGAAGGGAGAGAAGGAAGGGAGAGAAGGAAGGGAGAGAAGGAAGAGAGAGAAGGAAGGGAGAGAAGGAAGAGAGAGAAGGAAGGGAGAGAAGGAAGGGAGAGAAGGAAGAGAGAGAAGGAAGGGAGAGAAGGAAGAGAGAGAAGGAAGGGAGAGAAGGAAGAGAGAGAAGGAAGGGAGAGAAGGAAGAGAGAGAAGGAAGGGAGAGAAGGAAGGGAGAGAAGGAAGGGAGAGAAGGAAGGGAGAGAAGGAAGAGAGAGAAGGAAGGGAGAGAAGGAAGAGAGAGAAGGAAGGGAGAGAAGGAAGAGAGAGAAGGAAGGGAGAGAAGGAAGAGAGAGAAGGAAGGGAGAGAAGGAAGAGAGAGAAGAAAGGGAGAGAAGGAAGAGGGAGAAGGACGGGAGAGAAGGAAGAGAGAGAAGGAAGGGAGAGAAGGAAGAGAGAGAAGGAAGGGAGAGAAGGAAGATAGAGAAGGAAGGGAGAGAAGGAAGGGAGAGAAGGAAGGGAGAGAAGGAAGGGAGAGAAGGAAGAGAGAGAAGGAAGGGAGAGAAGGAAGAGAGAGAAGGAAGGGAGAGAAGGAAGGGAGAGAAGGAAGAGAGAGAAGGAAGGGAGAGAAGGAAGAGAGAGAAGGAAGGGAGAGAAGGAAGAGAGAGAAGGAAGGGAGAGAAGGAAGAGAGAGAAGGAAGGGAGAGAAGGAAGGGAGAGAAGGAAGGGAGAGAAGGAAGGGAGAGAAGGAAGAGAGAGAAGGAAGGGAGAGAAGGAAGAGAGAGAAGGAAGGGAGGGAGAGAAGGAAGAGAGAGAAGGAAGGGAGAGAAGGAAGAGAGAGAGGAAGGGAGAGAAGGAAGAGAGAGAAGAAAGGGAGAGAAGGAAGAGGGAGAAGGACGGGAGAGAAGGAAGAGAGAGAAGGAAGGGAGAGAAGGAAGAGAGAGAAGGAAGGGAGAGAAGGAAGATAGAGAAGGAAGGGAGAGAAGGAAGAGAGAGAAGGAAGGGAGAGAAGGAAGGGAGAGAAGGAAGGGAGAGAAGGAAGGGAGAGAAGGAAGGGAGAGAAGGAAGAGAGAGAAGGAAGGGAGAGAAGGAAGATAGAGAAGGAAGGGAGAGAAGGAAGAGAGAGAAGGAAGGGAGAGAAGGAAGGGAGAGAAGGAAGGGAGAGAAGGAAGGGAGAGAAGGAAGGGAGAGAAGGAAGGGAGAGAAGGAAGAGAGAGAAGGAAGGGAGAGAAGGAAGAGAGAGAAGGAAGGGAGAGAAGGAAGGGAGAGAAGGAAGAGAGAGAAGGAAGGGAGAGAAGGAAGAGAGAGAAGGAAGGGAGAGAAGGAAGAGAGAGAAGGAAGGGAGAGAAGGAAGAGAGAGAAGGAAGGGAGAGAAGGAAGGGAGAGAAGGAAGGGAGAGAAGGAAGGGAGAGAAGGAAGAGAGAGAAGGAAGGGAGAGAAGGAAGAGAGAGAAGGAAGGGAGAGAAGGAAGAGAGAGAAGGAAGGGAGAGAAGGAAGAGAGAGAAGGAAGGGAGAGAAGGAAGAGAGAGAAGGAAGGGAGAGAAGGAAGGGAGAGAAGGAAGGGAGAGAAGGAAGGGAGAGAAGGAAGGGAGAGAAGGAAGAGAGAGAAGGAAGGGAGAGAAGGAAGGGAGAGAAGGAAGGGAGAGAAGGAAGAGCCGTACTCTTTATTTGTTCAGCGCTGTTCAAGTTTGGAATCAGGGTGGAATATGAGAGCCAAAGCGAGCCACACACAAAAATTCATGAGACTCTTTTTTTCTTCTTTATTTCTTTATTTATTTATTATTTCTTTCTTTATTTCTTTCTTTCTTTCTTTCTTTCTTCTTTCTTTCGATCGAGCATACCTCTAATGGGACCTGGTCACTCAAGTCGAGTATTTCTGTCGCCACTGTCAGCACCCCAACCCTCCTCATGCGCCTCAGAATCCACTCCTTGCCTGACTCACTCCCACCACCACCTCGACTCCTTCTCTGATTCCCTCCCACTTCTCGATTCTCCTTCCCTTTTCTCACACCGTCACTCCTTCCTCTCCCTCCCTCACTCCCTCCATCATCTTCCCCATCTCCACCCGCGTTCTCACAGTCATCTCCTCGTTGCCCGCTTCCCTCCCCGCCTCCACTACCCCTGCCCTCCGTTGCTTGCTCAGCCGGCTTCGCCCAAGCAGGAAGCGGATTGGCCTCCCTCCCTCGCCCAGCTGACGTGGCAGCATCTCCTGCTGACACGCCAGCATTCTTCAACCCAACAGCACCACCAAAACGAGCAGCAGCAGCAGCAGCACCACCACCACCACCACCACCAACAAAGGCAGAACCACCACCACTACCAACAGCTTCCCGCTCCTCCCCACCACTTCCCTCACACATAGACACCAGCTTCCTGAGTACGGGCCTAGCATACGGGCCAAGCGGGTCGGGCTTGATCCACACGTGGAGCACAGAGTCTGGAGAGCACCAAACAAAGGTGGCATCCCGGGGCAGAAAGACGCAGACATGGGAGGAGCGTGCTCGAGTGGTGGTGGTGAGTGCATGGGAAGGAGTGTTGGGAGCATCAGGAGCGGGAGTGGAGCAATTGAGGGGCGACGCTATGATGCCTGCATGCCACTGAGCGCGTTTCTGGAAGAAAAACGAGAGAGGAGGAGGGAGGGAGAGGAGTGGGGAGGTGGAGAACAGGAAACGGGAAGAGAAACAGGGAGAGAGGAGAGGAAAGGTAAGAGAAACGGGAGTCGAACAAGGAGGGAGAATCCCTGCAAAGGACAGAGACCAAGCAGAGAGTCAGTAGAAATGCGTGGATGAGAAGGAACACGAAGTAAAACGAGACTCTGAAGAGTTAGAGGTCTGGAGCGGTAAAATCGCAGTTATTAGGTTACTGGAACCCCATAGCCACGTAAAGAGCAATTTAATTTTGCTGTGAAGCACTTCGAGAGTCTGACATGACCCACTTAGTTAAGGAATGACATGAACATGCACGCAGTTAACGCCTGTTGACCTAAATATACACGTGTGAGGACAAGTGAGTCCATCTAGGGTTGAAAAACCATGACCAAATCGCACCTTAGCCCAAACGAAAGTGCCTTCCGGTTGATCCGTTATAGGCCGACTAGGATCACCCATCCACCATGGAGCCGCCACCTTCGCCATCTGTTCACTGCGCGTTCAAGGGATGTGAAGCTAGGGTGATTATGTATCATATATAGGATAACCATAAAAAAAGTAAGCCAATCCCGCGCTATTTCTTCGGAACGTTTTTTTTCCTAAAACTTCAAATAAATGTGTTTTTTCGTCAACTAGAGCGAGCACCGCGCCGCGACTCGCTACTTGGGATGCTAGCTAATCAAGCTTTGCGATACTAACTAATCGCTGTAGCTATGGGAATGCGATGGGACATGGGGGCTTGCTCGTAAGGCATGAAACCGATGCGGATACAGTGACTGGGAGTGTAGAGGTAACGAATGGTTGTTGAGCTGACCTGATGGTGTTATGAGTTGTACTAAGAAGAGTGCGCGGAAGACTTTATAAAAAGGATGAGAACTACAGAATTACTGAACTACGATACAATGGAAGTGACGAGGCCTAAATAGGGGAAGTCCTAGCAAGGCGGGGAGGTTGGGCGAGGATGGCTCGGTGATGGATGCGATTGGTGCGGAGGCGACTTGGGGGTGGTTCGGTGCGACGAAATAGGAAGGACAGGTTCGTCGAGTGACCCTCGGGATGACCTCGTTAACGAGTGCCTCAGTAAGGATTCGGTAAATCCTTACACTCTCCCACCTTCTAAAAAAGTCAGTCTTGTACTGAAAACGGACCCCATACTAGCAAGGATGCCGTCGATCTCCTCTTCAGCTGAATCCGACGGCTGAAGGGCCTTTGAAAATATTTTGAAAAGGTTGGAATGTAGGCCGTTGATGAAGTCCAATTTCGATCTGACGGTCAACGATGAACCGACCCAAATTGAAGTAGAAGTTAACATTTGGGCCGTTGATCGAATACCGTAGGAGAGAATCTGACGGTCGAGGCAGATGTGATTTTGGAGGGAAAAGACTGACGCGAAATTCAATCGCGATCAATCTGGAGCCGTCGATCTTGTCGGTGTAATCGCGATCGTCCGTCGTGCTGACGCAACCTGACAAAGGTCAAGAAGAAAGCCGAGAAAACGCCAAGGACAGAAACAGTGCCGAGCACTTTCTCCCCCCTTCCAAGAAAACACACCAGAAAATGTTTCACTGCTGCTCCGAGAAGAAAGCCGCCAAAACCAGGTGTTAAGCCCCAATGAAAACGAGCGCTAAACCAGATTGCGTCGGTGTCCAAGGGCGAACCAGCATATGTAGCTCGGAAACCGCGTCGGAAAATCCATGTTACTCGAACGGGATGGTATACCTCAGCCGACGAAACCTGCCGCCCAATTTCGCGGTTGCGATAGGACAACGAACCCCCTCGGGATTGACGAGCTCCTGACGACTTGCGAGTGGCAAACTGGGGCGACCTGGCAGTCCTCTGAGGCTCTGAACCCCTCGGGATTGTCGACTATCTGACGACCTCGGGTTTCGCTGAGAGAAACCCGAGAAGGATACCTCAGCGGACCCTGAACCACAGCTCGACACGTTGTGCGCCGAGCCGCGGTTACTGCCACGTGGCTTAGTAGGGACGGCCGAGATCGAGCCTGACAATCGGGAGGTGCCACGACGGCGCCGACGTGGCCCCGCTTCGCACCACCGGGTATATTTCGCTGCGCGCGAAACTTGTAACCATCGTCCACGCGGCGAAAGACGACTGGCATGTGTCCACCACCTAGATAGCCAGAGAACGCAGGGTATTGAGATGTCGGTGTCGCCCGAACATCCAACCGCAGCAGCACGACCCACGCGGATGGTTCTGTGCGGACCAAACAATGCATAGGCGAAGAGAGCCCCAGAGTCACGGAATGTCGGCGTCGACCAAGCCTCCGGCCACGCGCCTACTCGCAGGTCGATGAGGCTTGCGCGGGAGAGCAGGACGCTACGGCATTTCGGGAGAGTGGAACTAGGTGATTGGCCTATTGCACGTGGCGCACGTGAATTCCACCGTGGCAAGGCACCGGCGGGAGTGCCGTTGAGCGCAGAGCGGCGTGACACTAGACATGCATCGATCGTGACACGTCATGCCCGTGCACAGCGGCGCTTGCAAAGAGGGCTGCGTGGAGCGCGGCAGGTGCGCAGTGGCTCGCAACCATACCCCTCCTTGACCACGCACAACGCTCTCATTCTGCCGGTTCAGCTTCCCGTTTCTCTCATGCTCCTGTGCGCCATCTAGCACTTCGTTTTGTTCACAGGACCCTCGCCATCTCTGCGGGTGTAGGTTACTCGACGGCCGAGACGACCGAGCGACGGCACAAAGGCGACGACCTGGAATAGACTGCCATAGGTCGGTGTTGGTGTCGACCATCGTCGACTTCGCCTTACTAGGTTCTAGGTCGTCATCTAGGAAAGTCGACGACGATAGATCAGGGCGACGATAGCATCTCCCAACCTTACCGAGTCGGAGACGCATGTCCAGAGGAAGGGCTAGTGCCCAACAGCCACAACAACTTATCCCACCCCCCGCCGATTCGGTAGACGACGACATCAAAGCGCAACTGGAACGACTCGAGGTCGACGCTGAGTTAGAAGCACTTGAGAGGGAATTCGAGGAAGACCGCCGCAGGACGATTAGGGCGTACACCGCACCCGTGAATCAGTACCATCTCTGGTTGACCAATCTTTCCCTCTTCCACGGCCGGCGGTAGAGCATACGAGCGGTCATGGACGACGTCGACATGCCCGACGTTGGTACCCCAACCGACCACAGTCCGTCCTCTGCCCCCGTAGAGACGCTGAAGTTGCTTTACGATCTTGACAAACTTACTCAGATTCCCGAAGGGGAGTACACCAAGGACATACCGAATCCGGCAATTGGGGAGTTTACGAAGAAGTCGACACCGACGGCAGATGGGCAGACTGGACCTTCGTCGGTGCCCGCCGGCTCGGAAAACCAAGGTGATAACGACGAGGAGGACGAGGAAGAGAGCGACGACGAAGTCGACGACCGTCCTCCGCGTAGCACGAATCCGCGCACCTTGGAAGAACGCCTTAGGCGGGAATTTGAATACATACGTGACATGCTCGAAGCGGACGAGAAGGAGGACGATCAGCACATGTCGGTGCCGGGCGAAGGGTGGAAGGCGACGGACTTTGTAGTGGACGACATGGTGTACTCCAGCATTGACGTGCTCATAATGGACGCCCTACGACACCTACAATGCTTGGAGAAGAATAGCACGCTCAGGCTGTACACCGCGTTCATCTACCACTACAAGAAGTGGGCGGCGAAGATGCTGAAGCAGCTACGCGACAAGCTACCCCATGAGCAACGACTTAGGCACGTCGACGAGATCGGCCACTACATCCGCGACAACAAGAAAGAGGATTGGTGCAACGAGAAAGTGGTCCGCCGACAGTACATCTGGCTGCACGGCCCTAGGGTCACCGAAACCCGGCTGCGCGCCTACGTGAAGCAAATGAGCCGTGAGTGTAACCTCATTGTTGACCAGCCCGGGGAGGAGAACAATGCCACGCGAACGGGGCCTGTGAGGTCGACAACTGTGCACACGATCCTCGGCCGGATAAAGGCATGCCAGATGGCGGCGAGGGTGGAGGCGACGCTGTACCGAGAGAAGGAGCTGGGCCTCATGAGGGAGATCTCGGTGGTGAGATCGGAGGTGCGGTTCAACGTCCGCCACAAGAACGAGAGGGACCTCAAGTAAGTTGGTCGACAACCTTATTATATATCACTGTGCACTGTGAAGTCGACGCAGTCTAACAGATTTTCCCCGCCGATTTGCGTTCAGGAACTGCGCCGACCGTCGACGCGGCACCATCGGCGATACCTACACCGCCGAGCAGTTCCGCCAGATCATGATGAGGGTGCTGCCGACATGGGCGGCGGCGGCGTGGAACCCGCGGGCTACCACTCCGTCGCAGACGCTGTGGCGATTCCTGCTCATCAAGGTGCTCACGCTACTCTCCCACCACACTCTCCTGCGCGGCGGCAGCATCCGCGAGATCACGCTCCCCGACATCTTCTTGTACCACCTGGCGAGCACCTCGGAGGTCAACCCGGATAGCCAGCCGGTCGTCATGGTGATCGCCGCGCGTAACTCGAAGACTTCCAAGGATGCCCGTCTTCAGCAGAGCTACGCTGCGCGACACCCGGAAGCGGAGCTGTGCGCCGTCGGCGAGACCGGCCTGTGGCTGCACTTCATCCTCAACCAGATCGGTCAGTTCTCTGGCACCGACTTTCTTTCGCCGCTTGACATCACAGAACGCGAACGCTGGTACAAGAAGCATCTCTTCTTCGCCAGAAACGACAAGGAGCAGGAGGAGCTCTCCGCCGCCACCCACCAACGTTGGACTCGGCAGGTGTGGACGACCAACAAGGTGTTCTGCAAAAGGAACGTGCACGCCGCCCGCGCCGGAGGTGCGCAGGAGTTAGCCATCGGAGGGACGCCGCGCGCCGAGATCGCCGAGCTGGGACACTGGGCTCTCGACAAGATGACGCGTGCGTACATCACGGCCATTCCCGTTGGGGTGGTGATGCGGAAGGCCGGCTACTCGGGACTCAAGCAAGACTACTTCTTGGGGCGCAGCAGGGTCGAGCCCTCCGACAAACTCCTGGACCTCCTCGCCGAGCACATCTTCCCCGGCGTGGATGCTATGCTGCGCGATGTATGTCACGCGACGCCGACAATGATTTTCAGTCGTCGTGGCCTAGTTGGCTGCCCAACTCCCTACTAACCCACGCCACTTTCCGACTTGCAGGCGGAGACGCGTGCCGTCAACGGGAGCGACGCCGCTGCAGCCGCAGTGCACTTCTTGCGCACCCTCGTGATGTTCCGACGAATCGTCGCCGAGGACCTCGCGGTGAAGCTCGTCCGCACACCGTGGCACCCGTACGTCCAAGGTTCCAAGCTCTGCAGGATTGCCCTCTTCCAGCACTGGGCGAAAAGGGTCGAGTCGGTCGACACCGATACGATCAAAAAGCGCCGGGACCCGACTCAGATACAACCGGAGGTGAGTTGCCGACCATGTCGGCGTCGTTGGATTTTAGCCGGTGAATTAATTCTAACCTCTTGTCGCCATTCCGCACACTCAACATTGCAGGAAATATCCGTGCGCATGGACACCCAGTATCACAACATGTCCCTCAAGGAGGCGCTGAAGAAGGAGATCGAGCGCTCGGCGCTCGAGAAGCTAGGCTTTCAGGAGACGATCGAGAAGCAAAACGACACCATCGCGTCGCTCACCTCCGAGCTTGCTCGACTCACCGAGGCACTCCGTGTGTCAGAAGCCCGGAGGATGCCGGAGGCGCCGCCGTCGGCTACCGATCAAACTCCGGGCGAAGGTGGCTCCGCGGATTCGGCCAACACGGGGACCGGAGCCAAGAGAGATGATGGGAAACCCCCGCCACCCCCCCAGACGGCAGAGGAGGCCAGTTACGAGCTCAACGTGGTGCAACCGTGGCGGGATTCAAAGACCGTGCGGGACGCTTGGCGCCTCTGGAACTCCGCCACCGCCAATGACACCCGTCGTCTTTGCGACAGGGTCGCCGAGCCGGGGTTCATCGACCGCCACACCCTCCTCAAAGGCGCGACCCATGGTGCACTCAACATGAGGGTGCGCCGCATGCTGAAGGCCATGGATGCGGTGCGCCAGCTACGCGCGAGCGACGGCGATGCCGACACCGAAGCCGTGGTCGATGCACTGAACACGATCGCGGCACCGGGCATTGGGACCTTCTGCGATGCCCTCACGGTGCTCAACCCGGAGACGGCACCGACGATGTCCAAGGAGCCTGGCATGGGCGTCAAGGGGCTTGGCCCCAAGGTGGTCTCGAAGCTACGCCTCGCCTGTGCGCTGGTGGCGCTCGAGCTGAAGCCGACGACGTGGGTCGACCGCCTGTTTTCAGACACCTGGGAGGAGCAGATGCCGAAGACCGTAGCCGACTTGGCCAAGCAGACCGCACCTGCGCAACGTCCTCCGTCAAAGCGCAAGAAGTCGGCATGAACATCCTCGGTGCATATGTGTTTTAGCGTAGGTTGATGCCCTAATTTAGCAACATATGTGTTCCCATTGTACTTGTTGATGGTGATGCAACACGAACATACATGATCAAACACATACATCCGAACCAGATATGTCGGACTCCGACATAGTCGCCACCATGTGTGTGCAATTCATTGTGCCTTATTCATGTCGACGTTCCGCACGATTGCATGTCGATAGGGCGTCGACATATTCGCCGACATATCTCGTCGCGGAATAGCATGTGTCTACCCCGTCTATCTTCGCTGCTCGCCGAGTAGGATGTTCCTTTAGATGTCGACACATTCGCCGACAAGGCGCATCGTTCAAAGTCGGCTAGCAAGTTTCAATGTGGACAGTGATTTACTAAAAAAACGGAAAAATATTCGTGCCCTACGATACAAAAGTCATTAGAATAACTTGGCCGTCGGCACCAACCATACAATAGTGCCCTGCACACCGCAGCCCGCCATCTACGCATCCGTACTGCCCATGCCCTGCTTGCTCTTCTTCCTCTTGCTGCTGCCCTTGCTTTGCTTGACCTTCTCCCCCTTCCTACCCCTGTGATCCATATCGTACTCCATCCTCGCGTCACACGGCACATCGATGCCCTGCGCTTTGAGCATGGGCCCGGCGACGGGGCACATTCCCCAGAACGCCAAGGTCTCGACCGTCGCTCTTGCGATCATGTCGGCCTCGACTTCCTCAACTCCCTTCGCGAAGGCCCTGGCAACTGCCTGGCTCTGCACCGATGGCGCGACGTTATGTGCAACCTTCCCAGCGGGAGCCTGCCTGCTGCGTGCTATGTCGATCACCGCGTGCATCACCTCCTTGAAGTCATTGGCCCTCGCCTCCCCCGCACCTGCCACCATCGCCGCCGCCTTCCCTTCGCCCACAGCACCGAGCACCGACGCCCCCGTCTCCAAGAAGCACCAGATGGCGCATGCCGATGCCGCTAACGCCTGGGCCCCCATCTCCACCTTCTCGTCCGCCTTCCCCTCCACGCTCGCATCGACCTTCCCAAACGCCGCGCTCGCCGCGACCTTCCCATACGCCGCGCACATCGACACGCGATTTACCATCGCCGACAAGAGAGCGGTCGTCTCTTCCTTGCCTTCCTCCGTGTCCTCGATGATGGGGAACCAGATCGCCGGCCAGAGCACGTCATGAAGCGCAACACCCGAACTCGCGTACCCACGGTACCTGCCGAGTATATCGTCGAACCTGCCGCGCAAACACATTAAATCGACAGGACTTCAGCGTTTTGACACCAACTTGGTCGGCAGAACTCGGCACGTCAGTATCCGTCTTACCTTGCTCTCGGATGGCACAAGCCTCTGGCCCACATCACGGTCCACATCCCAGTGGGCAACAACTTCACCATCGCCCACACCTCCTTCCATTTATCCAACTCCCCCGGGTTCAAGACGGTGAGCTCCTTCATGAGCACCTTGCTCACGTAGCCGTCGTAGACGACGAACGCAATCGCGTGCTCGTAGGCCAGCTCCATCTTCTCCCTCGACTTGCCGATGTACCGATTCTGTCCGTGTACCTTAATTTCGCCCACCCACCCTTGCCCGTCGCCAGCCTTGTCTCGGCGGATGCCATGACCCCTGCGTCCATGCTCTTTATCTCCCTCGCCGCCCTCCTCGTCCTCCTCCTCCGCCTTCTCCTCCTTCTTCGCCGGCTTACCCTTGCCGCCCGTCTTGTCCTTCTCCCCTTCCGCCTTCTTTCCTTTCTCTTCCGACGTCAACTTCCCCGCAGTCATCGCCCGCGTGCTCCTCTGAGAGACCGCCTTCCCTTTCCCGTTGTCGTCCTTTTCCTTCCGTCCAGCATTTATCTCGGCGACAGCAGCCGTTGCGGCCGTCTGCTCCGTCGAACCCCCTCCGTGGGTTGCCGACGGCACCACATGCGCCGTGTCCATGATGGCCATAACAGGGGCGTGCTCGGGGCGCTTTGCTGCCTCAAAATGGGCCATGACGACCGCGAGGTCGGCATGCTTGTCTGCGCGGCCGCCGGTGGCGAGCGCTGCACTCACTCCCTTCTCCGCCGCCACATCGACCACAGATGCACCTGGTGTGGGTGCGGTTGCGTTTACCGACATCGGCGTCGCGCTTTTGCCGAGTTCCGGCAGGGTCACTGACGGAGCAGTTGCTTTGCGTGCGCCTAAATGGGCGCGAAGAAAATCGGACTTGGGGTCCGCAGGCGGTGGGGCGGCCACCGGAGGCGCGGCAGGTGGGGCACCGGACGACTTGCCGGCAACCTGCGTAGTGACGGAGCGGCGTGCTGTTCCAGGAAGGCCGGCGTCGACCACGGGATGCTGCTGCACGTCCCTGCTATGTGCCTCCATGCGGCGGAGCATCTCTCTGAGTGCGGTAGCACCGGGGGGGGCCTTAGCTGATGCCATGGCATCACCCTTAGCCGAAGCAACCTTCGCGACAACCTTGGCGGCAGTCGGGGCTGCTGGAGCTGGAGCAGCCTCGCCATCTTTGTTCGCACCTGACTGGCCGGCAGGCGCGCTGGTAGTCGCAAGGGGGTTACGGGGACTCAACTTGGTGGTGTCGGCAACCGTAGCAGAAGCAGGCTTGGCCGACGCCGCGACGGGTGGTCCCTTGGTGGTTCCGGAGTCACCATCATTCGCCGCCTGAGCAGTTGGCACCTCCTTGCCGGTAACGCCTTTCCCACCGCTCGCCTGAGGATGGGTCTGCTCGGCGACCAAAGGCGGGCCAGTCGGAGCAGCTTGGTTGGCGGCAACCCCGTCGGCAGGGCCACCCTCTGCTCCCCCGCTTCCGCCTCCCTTGCTGTGCGACGTCCTTACCACCTTCCACCCCGCCTTCGTCTTCAGCTGGTCGACCACGCTTTTTTGCGCAGGCTTCGACCCGAAACTACCGTCCGCTCCCTTGCTCCGCTTCGAGCTCCCCTTGTCGTCTCCGTCGCCGGTCCTCTTATGGCCCTGCTTCTCGGCCGTTTTTCTTTGCGCGTTATCGGCGTCATTGGCCGAAGGCGACGACCCACGCCGACCAGGCGCTACAGTGCCGATCATCTCTGTCATGATCTTCATCCCGGAAGCAACAAAAGACTGCTGGGTGGCCTCCGTCACCGCCTTCAGGATGTCGGCCTTGAACGACTTCAAAAACTCTTCTGGGATGGCGGGCGGCGTGGGATGAGGCGGTGGCGGCGGCGACACAGCGAGCCTGGCGGTCAAAGCGGTGGCGATGTTGACCTGCGCGGAGGCAAGGTGGTTCGAGATGTACTCTTCCAACCCCTTCTTCGCATCGCCCACCACCGAATCCACGTGTTCGGCCAAGGAGGTGACCGCTAACGCTCGTGCATACGCGACACGACCCTCCGGATTGTCGAAGTCCTCCAACCACTCCGTCGCATGTTCCGCGAAAGTCTTCATCGACTTCCACGCTTCGTCAAAGCTGCCGGAGATGTTGCCCGTGATGGTCTTCGACATGGCCTCCGTCGCGTTTCGCAGCTGTTCCACGGCATACTTGTCGGTGTCGTCGACCTGCTCGGCCAACCCTTTAACGTGGTCGACGAGTCGACTGACCCCAACAAAAAAACTGTCCAGCCGGGACCGCTCCGCATCGAGCAACGACGCCAGCCGAGCGTTCTCCGCCCGCAACAACCAGTTTTCCCGTCGCAGAACCTCGACGTCGTCCAGTTCTGGGCCCTGCCGACCAGGTGCTTCCCCGGCCTCCTGCTCGCCCGTGTTGTTCGGCCCTTCGCCGGCGTCGACCGACACCTTCCCACCTCCTTCGCAGGCCGCCTCATCCTGGCCATTTCCGGGTGCCTCCACGCCGACCTCGCCCTTCTCCTTCCCCACATCTGCCGACCTCGTAGCATTTCCCGCGCCGTCATCCTTCTCTTCCTCATTCCCCTGATCTGCCGACCCCACCGCCTCTTCCGCCGCTCCCGCCTCAACCGTACCCTCTACATACTCCACCACGAACTCCACCTCTTCATCCCCCCCCTCCTCATCCTTCCCTCCCTCCCACTTCTCACCATTCTCGTCCTTATTCTCCTCCTCCTCCTCATACTCCTCCTCGTCCTTACGCTTCACCGCCTCGTCTTCCTCCTCCGACTCCGACTCCGACTCCGACTCCGACGACGACTCCGACTTCTCCGTTTCCGACCTTCCTGCACCTGCCTCTGCGTTGCCTCCTCCACCGTTTCCACCTTCCCCATGCACCCTCGCGTTCCCATGATGCTGGGCGGCAACTGCACCTTGGGGCGCTTTCTGTCCTTCCGCGACGTCGTCATCTATGGCATTGTCGGCGGGTCCGGCGGCTTGAGAAGTCGGCGTCGCGGTGCGTTTCACGGCAATGACCTTGCCGACGTACTCAACCATGCTGTCGCGCAAAGCCTTCAGCATCTTCATCCCGATGCTCTCGATGCTCACCCCACGACGACCCTTCTCGCCTGTCAGATGGTCGATCTGTTTTGCTACCCACCCGAACGACGTCGCGGAAAGCACGCCGGCACCGACATGCCCGTCCGACACTGTGCCCGGCACTTTCTGCATACAAGCACGGAACATGATGAGCGGAGCGTTCAGAAACGGGCACCCCCCCCCCTTGCAACTCACATCGCGGATAGGGTGGTCGCAGTCGGCCAGCCTGACCTCCACCACTGCTTGTGATGGCGGCGCCCAGTCCCACATCCTACTGGGACGCCCCAGCTCGGCCAGGACAGCCGTGCGGAAGAACCTGAAGCACCGCGGTGGGGGGAGGCGGTCAGCGTGTGATACCCTGGGTCGCCGACTAACAAGCGGGTCATCGACGACAATTCAGCACTTACTTTAGCACGCGGGCGGCCTCGTCGCGGTGATACCCTTTACCGGTCTGCGGGTCGATGTGCCGGATTGAGGTCCTGCACACCTGTCCCTCAGCCTTCAACAGATCTCCAGGGTATAGGATGGCAATGACGCTGCAGTGCGTTCCTGGAAGCGCACCGAGGCTGCACATGCAATTCGCGACGACGTCGATCACATCACCACGCGATGTCGCGACACTAAACAACGACAACTGATCAAAGGTGAAACAGCTCACATCGTTCTTAACGGGATAGCGGCGATGTCGGCGTCGAAAACCGCAGCAAAGCATGAATGGTCGGCCAGCCGCATGGCCGATCGAAGCGTGCCGACGTCGAGAACCCACAAACGCTGGTTCTCGATCCCAAGTCGGGACCACGCGAACCTGACGGCACGATTGGGCAAGGAGGTTCATACAAGGGCGGTTGAGCAAACGCCGAAAAGTACAGAGGGCGACTACGTGTGGTCGACGACTCCTAAGGTGGTCGGCGTTCCTGGAGGGGGTCTATGCCTAATACCGCGCCCGTCGACGTAAATCAGAAGGCCACTGCGTGGACACCGAACCTAGTTAAGTCGGCGCCGACTACTCGAGTCGTACCTGATGCCGAAATCCAAACATCCGTCGTTGAACTCTATCTTGTGGTTGCGAAGAACTAAGAAGTCTTCCCACTCTAAAGTGAAGCTGAGACCAGGACCCATTTGGTGACGAAGAGGGAAGTCAGCCGAAGTCGGCGCCGAGTTATCGGGGTCAGGGCTAGGGTCCATACCGACTAAGGGGAAGCGATATCACGATAGCCGCACAGAGCAACGAAAGGAGGAAAAAAGGAAGAGGAGGAGCGAAACGAGATGCGGAAAATGGGGAGCGAGGCCACCATCCACAAAGAAAAGGAGACGGTGGCCCACCGCATCCCCGTTCAGCGTCGCCCAAGGGTGTGGGGCCTGGCTCGGCAGGGCTCTGAGGGCGCATGCGCAAGTGGAACAGGTGGTCCGACTCCGCTTCGGCAGGGCGTCGACCTCGCGTCCAATGTCCCAGGTCGGCGAGGGGACGCAATATCGCGTGCGCGATGAGCGTGCATTCGCACAACACGTGTCGATTTCGTAGTGGGTAACGAACCTCGTTGTCCGCGTCGCGGCCTTTTTTTTTTTTCGCTCGCAACGACAAAAATATCGCATGCGCCCGATGCGAAACCACGAGCGAACACGTGGCGTCGCCGCAACGGGTCGCGAAATTGTCGAGCGTCCCGAGGGGGCCCCGACATTTCGCCCGGCCCTCGCCTGCCCGTCCGGGCAGGCCGCGATGGGTTACTAGGACCTCGCAAGCAGGTGGCGCGCGTGGGCTGCCTTCGCGCGAGGGTAATTTTCCCACGCACGAGGTGTCGCCAGTTCGCCGACCCCACCTGGTAACGTGGGCCGCTGTTCACGTTCGGGGCGGGGCCGCGGGGCGGCGGTCGTGCGCTCGGCCCAGCCCTGGGCCAGGCTGGCGGGCCCGCACGCGCGTCAGTGCTCCGCCCCGTCGGCCCAGGCTTCGACGACCCCCCTCGACGACACCGGCAATTCGGGTCCGTCGACCTGATTCCGCTGGGATGTTCGTCGTTAAAAGAGTCGGAATGGAGCCGTCCTGAAATCCTCTGGCCGTGAAATCAGGGGTGGTCGAAATTGTCGGCGATGAATACGATTGATGGCGAAGTCGAAAACGAGACTCGACGAAGGTCGTCGAAGCAGTAACCAATTGCGAATGTCATTCCGAAAATGTTGTCGAACACCAGTTGTCAGAACATTATAGCTTATGCTGTTGTGTAGGCTATAGTGGGGTATCCCATAGGGGGTACAACCCAATTATGGTTTCCTATATGAACTCACTTCATTCATAGTTCATTCATTCTCGTTTCAATTCTCACATGGTATCGAGCAGGTTCCCTCGTGGGAACTGTTCCTAAGGCCCTACTACTGCTTCCGCTGCTACTCGATCTGTCGCACGCCCCGCGGCGTGCGACCTATTTGGCGCGCGGCGATTTTCTTTCTGGCGCGCGGCCCCGCCTCGGTCGACCCGGCCCTTAGACGCCCGCGCGCCGCACGTCCCGGCCCTTCGACGCCCGCGCGCCACCTGTCCCGGCCCTTAGACGCCCGCCACCGCCCGTCCCGGCCCTTAGACGCCCGCGCGCCGCCCGTCCCGGCCGCGCGCCGCCGTCACGGCCCCACGCCGACTGTGCGCCGCCCGTCGCGGCCGCGCGCCACTGCCTCGGCCCGTCGACGCTCGTGCGCCGCCTGTCCCGGCCCCACCCCGCCCGTGCGCCGCCCGTCCCCGCCGCGCGCCGCCGTCCCGGCCCCTCGCGGCCCGTGCGCCGCCGTCCCAGCCCCAAGCTGCCCCGGCCCGTCAACACCCGTGCGTCACCCGTCCCGGCCGCGCGCCGCTGCCCCAGCCCGTCGACGCCCGTGTGCCGCCCGTCTCGGCCGCGCGCGGCCGTCACGGCCCCCACGCCGCCGTCCTGGCCCCGTCGCCGCTCCACCCGGCCCCGCCGCTATCCCCAAGCGGCCCCGCCGTCACCACCGAGCCGCCGGCGCCGCCGAGCTAGTGCCGAGCCACCCGAGCCGCCCGAGCCGCCCGAGCCGCCCGAGCCGCCCGAGCCGCCCGAGCCGCCCGAGCCACCCGAGCCGCCCGAGCCGCCCTAGCCGCAGCGCCACCTCAGCCGCCCGAGCCGCCGGGTCGCCGAGCCGCCGGGTCGCCGAGCCGCCGAGCTGCAGTTGCTGCCGAGCAGCCGTACCGCCGAGCCGCCGAGCCGCCGAGCCGCCCGAGTCGCCCGAGCAGCCGAGCCGCCCGAGTCGCCCGGGCCGCCGAGCCGCAGTTGCTGCAGTGCCGCCGTGTCGCCGAGTCGCCGCGTCGTCGAGCCTGCTCTTCCCACCACTGGTGAGCCCGTGCCTTACTAGCGCGCTGCCTGCTGCTTGCTTGGCTTCCTGCCTTACTGCTGCTTCTCCTACTCCTGCTTCTACTGGCGGCGGCCAGATGCAGCTCCAGCGACGCCCATGCGCGTCTCTCACGCCCCAGCAGCTTCGTGAGTGGTACGCTCAGAGTAGAGGGTCTCTCAGTTCTGTTCGCTGCTCTTACGTGATTCGCACTGGTGCTCGGACTGGTCAGCCTTGTGGGACGCCTAGTCACACACCGTCCCGCTGCTTTGCCTGTCTGAGCGACGCCTGGCGTACCGAGTTTGGCGACGAGGCTGAGCTCCCCGACTGGGTGGAGTTGCTTAGGCAGAGAGTAGATATATTTTCTCTTAACTATGATGCTATTCTCACTGCCATGTATGCATTGCCTACTAGTGCTGACCGTGCCGGTCACCTGTGCGTATCGCCTGACCCGGGTATAGAGCCTGCTGCTCTAGCTGCTGGTGCGGCTGCTGCTCTGGGTGCTAGTGTGTCTCCTGCTCCAGGTACAGGTGCGGCTGCTGCTCTAGGTGCTAGTGAGTCTGCTTCCTCAGGTGCGGGTGAGTCTGCTCTCTCAGGTACCGCGTCGGCTCCGGCCTCTCACACCTTCACCCTTGACTCGGGGGCTTCCCGCTCCTTCTTTCGAGACCGCACCACACTCACGCCGCTTGGTCGGCCAGTTGCAGTCTCTCAGGCAGACCCCTCTGGGGGGCCTGTCCTTGCTCACTTCTCCACTGTCCTCCCGTGTCCGCCGGCCCCCTCTGGCACCCTGTCTGGTCTTTACCTCCCCTCGTTCTCTACGAACTTGGTGAGTGGTGCTGACCTACAGGATGCGGGGGTTCACCAGTTCACTCCTGCGAGTCAGCGGGTGACCCACTGCACAGACGCTCGGACAGGCCGACACGTGGCCACGTTTACTCGTCGGCAGGGGTCGAGCCTGTACACACTGACCACTCCGTCTCCTCCAGTTGCTGAGTCTGGTAGGGTAGCTGCGTCGGGTCAGGTGTTTGCTGCAGCGTCCAGGACTGGTCCTGAGTCTGCCCCCTGTTCGTGTCGTCTCCTGTCTCACGAGACTCTCCTCTGGAACCACCGCCTTGGTCACCCCTCTCTGCTTCGGCTCAAAGGCATGGCCTCTCGTCTTCTTGTTTCTCGTCTCCCCCGGTCCCTACCTCCCCTTCCTCAGGGCCCTGGCCCTACATGTGTCCCCTGTGTCGAGGGGCGCCAGCGTGCTGCCCCTCACTCCTCCCAGTTTCCTCCGACAGAGGCCCCGTTGCACACGCTTCACATGGACGTGTGGGGCCTAGCCCGCGTCCGTGGACAGGGTCACGAGCGCTACTTCCTGCTAGTTGTTGACGACTACTCGCGTTACACCACAGTCTTCCCCTTGCGCAGCAAGGGTGATGTCACTGAGGTGCTGATCGACTGGATCCGCGCAGCTCGTCTCCAGCTCAGGCAGAGCTTTGGCTCGGACTTTCCTGTTCTGCGTCTGCACTCGGACAGAGGCGGAGAGTTTTCCTATGGCCTTCTGAGAGCCTACTGTCGCGCACGGGGCATCCGCCAGACCTTCACGCTTCCGGACTCTCCACAGCAAAATGGGATTGCTGAGCGCCGCATTGGCATGGTCATGAACGTCGCTCGTACGTCTATGATGCATGCGGCTGCCCCCCATTTTCTGTGGCCGTTTGCGGTGAGGTACGCGGCGCATCAGCTCAACCTTCACCCCAGGGTCTCCAGGCCGGAGACCTCCCCAGCCCTGCTGTGGACGGGGAAGGTTGGCGATGCGTCGGCGTTCCAGGTCTGGGGATCTCGGGCGTTTGTCCGCGACTTGTCTGCGGACAAGCTGTCCCCTCGTGCTGCTCCTTGCGTCTTCCTGGGGTTCCCCCCTGACGCGCCTGGGTGGCAGTTCTACCACCCCACCTCTCGCCGTGTTCTGTCCTCCCAGGACGTCACGCTTGATGAGTCGGTCCCCTACTACCGCCTCTTCCCCTACCGCACTCCGTCCCTCCCCCCGCCCCCGCTCTTCCTTGTACCAGGTCCCCCCCAGGTAGACCCCCTCCCCCCTCAGGGTCCTGCCCCTTCAGGTGTGTCCCAGGTAGACGCAGTCGAGCCTGTCGAGGTCACTAGTGACTCTGGTGCTGCTGGGGGTGCTGAGCCTGGGGGTGCTGAGCCTGGGGGTGCTATGCTTGGGGGTGCTTTGCCTGGGGGTGCCGGGCTAGGGGGTGCTGAGCCTAGAGG